ATTTGACTCAGTAAAGAAATCAAAGTCCTTGCAGTGGTCTACAAGTGGTTATGTCATCCGACCCTCTTCTGCTCTCCCCCTTCTGCTTTCCTCACAGGAGTCACATGGGCCTCCTTGCAGCCACTCGAATAGTCCAGGCATGCTTCCACCTTAGGACCTTTGTACACAGTTTTTCTTATATTGGGACACTCTCCTAGAGATCCTCTTGGCCCTCTTCTCAAACTTTCTGGTCACTATCCAAGAGTCATTTCTTTTCTTTTTTTTTTAAATATATAGTTTATTGATTATGCCATTACAGTTGTTCTATTCCCCCCCTTCATTTCCCTCTACCCTGCACACCCCCTCCCCCACCATTCCCCACCCTTTAGTTTATGACCACGTGTCTCAAGTTCTTTAGGTTCTATATTTCCCATGCTATTCTTGCCCCCCCATCTATTTTCTAACTACTGTCTATGCTACTTATTTTCTGTACCTTCTCCCCCCTTCTCCTCCTCCCACTCCCCTGTTGCTAACCCTCCTTGAGATCTTCATTTCTATGTTTCCACTCCTGATCTAGCTGTCCTTTTAGTTTGCTTTTGTTTTAGGTGCGATTGTTAATAACTGTGAGCTTGCTGTCCTTTCACTGTTCATGTTTTTTTAACTTCTTTTTCTTTGGTAAGTCCCTTTAACATTTCATATAATAAGGGCTTGGTGATGATGAACTCCTTGAGTTTGATCTTATCTGAGAAGCACTTTATCTGTCCTTCCATTCTAAATGAAAGCTTTGCTGGATAGAGCAATCTTGGATGTAGGTCTTTGGATTTCATGACTTGGAATACTTCTTTCCAGCCCCTTCTTGCCTGCAAAGTCTCTTTTGAGAAATCAGCTGACAGTCTGATGGGAACTCCTTTGTAGGTGACTGTCCCCTTATCTCTTGCTGCTTCTAGGATTCTCTCCTTCATTTTAATCTTGGCTAATGTAATGCTGATGTGCCTTGGTGTGTTCCTTCTTGGGTCCAACTTCTTTGGGACTCTCTGAGCTTCCTGGATTTCCTGGAAGTCTATTGCCTTTGCCAGATTGGGGAAATTCTCCTTTATTATCTGTTCAAATAAGTTTTCCACTCCTGGTGGTTCCTCTTCCCCTTCTGGTACCTCTATAACTCGGATATTGGAGCATTTAAAGATGTCCTGGAGGTTCCTAAGCCTCTCCTCATTTTTTTTTTGAATTCTTGTTTCTTCATATTTTTCTGTTTGGTCATTTTTTTCTTCCTTTTGGTCCACTCCCTTGATTTGAGTCCCAGTTTCCTTTCCATCCCTATTGGTTTCCTATGCATTTCCCTTCATTTCAATTAGTTTAGCCTTCATTTGTTCCTCTAATTTGTGAGTAAAATCAACCAGTTCTGTGAGCATCCTGATCACCAGTGTTTTGAACTGTGCATATGAAAGTTTGGCTATTTCTTGGTCGCTTACATTTATCGGCTCTGGGGCTTTGAGTTCCTGAGCCATGTTTTGGTCTGTTTGCTCCTGTTACATATGAGGAGAGGAGCCTTAGGTGTTCATCAGGGTGGGGCCACCCAGGTCGCTGGGCTATGATGCTGTATGTAGGGGCGGGTCAGAGAGGGACAATAGCAGTCCCCTATGCTGCTTCCCACCGCTGGGGCCTGCACAGTTTGTCTCACCACTTGCTCCTTTGCTGGTTTATCTGTGCAAGAATGTGTGACCTCAGTCAGCCTGCCACCTTGGCCCTCAGTTGGTCCACCCCTTGCTACTCCACACCTGGGGTTCACCCATGGCTGCCTGTGTGCCTAAGTGGTGCGTCTGGGTCGTGCACCTGGGTCGGTCCACCTGGGTTGGTCCGGTGGATCTTTTCTGCCCGACCCTGCTCTACTGCTGCTTCTGCCTCTCTTACCAGTCTGGCTGAATGGTTCTTTGTTGTCGGACTTACATATAGTTCAATTTTCCGTGGTTTGGCTGTGTCTTTGTTGCTAAAACTTTGTTGTTTTTAAACTTGGTTGTGCAAGAAGACACAGGGTTTCCACCTAAGCCTCCATCTTGGCGGAAGTCTTCCTTGGACAAGAAGCCAAGAGTCATTTCAATGAACCCATCCATGTCACCCTGTTTTGGTTTTTGTTTGTTTTGTTTTGTTATTTAATTATTTTTCAAGTACAGTATTCTGTCTTTTACTCCCATCCCAGCCTACCCCCCGTGCTCCCCACCTCCCTCCCATTCCACACCCCTTAGTTGTTGTCCATATGTCTTTTATACTAGTTCCTGTAAATCCTTCCCCTTTTACCCCTGAAATTCCCTCCCCTCTCCCCTCTGGTAGCTGTACCCCTGTTCTCTATTTCAGTGTCATTGTTTTTATTTTGCTCGCTTGTTTGTTTTGTTGTTTAGCTTCCTGTTAAAGGTGAGATTATATGGTATTTGTCTTTCAATGCCTGGCTTATTTACATGTCACCCTGTTTTAACCTGCAAAAGTAGGAGATCAGAATCATTTCCTGTCACCCTCTACTTATTGGCCCAGAGCTCAGATTCCTGACAGCTTTGGGCATCTACCCCTCAGGGCACCCATACTCCTTCCTTCTGCCTGCAGTTTCCCAGTTCACTGGTTTTGATCATCCTTCCTATGAGATTCACAGTGCTTTAATGTGTGTATCCCAGACAGGGTCTTACTTATTCAGCAAGAGAGCCATACATGTTGCCCAGTGCAATGCCAAAAATTAGAACTTCCCTCCAATTTCCAGACATGCATAGCCAATTATTTCAAGTTTTACACTGAAAAAAATCATTAAATATGTGTTTTTGTTTCTTTGATATGTTTTGTTTAATATTTACTTTGTAAAAACTAATCTTTAGTTTGAAACTAACTGGGAAACTTAATAACCTCAATGGAGTATGAGGAGAAACCAGAAATGAAGCAACAATATTAACACCAGAAAATAGGAAAGGCATAATTTCTACTAACAAAATAAATCAGCAAGCATGTACATTTCATAATGTTTTTCCCATCTACCACAGATCCTCACAGGTCCTTAAACTAAGATAGACATTTGAGAACTTCTGCTTTAAGGTTTATGAAGATTCCTAAGTGCCTCCTGACTCAGAGAAAAAAATAGATACATTTATAACTATAGTTTAGAATTTTAAAGTCTTTGTCAATATTGTTTGAAAAGTTCCATCCATTTATGGTACAATGACAATTATGGTACACTGTACATATGGTACAATGACAACTAATTTTAAACTCATGAATTGATTTGAAAAATCCACTCCTCAACCATTGTATTAATGATCAAACATATACTACTGTACTGTTTTTCCATTTGTATGTAAAAACACAAATTTTTAAAAGCTGACCAAAATGAATTTATTAATATAAATGTTTAACAGATTTTCCATTTGAAACTTGTTAATATTTATTGAGTTCTAAATAATATCAGTTTCATTGAGCTATTGAGGGGATTCTGTGTTGAGCACTTAGCAGAGCACCTGACACATAGTAAGGGTTCTATGTGTCAGGTGGTAAGGGTTCTTGTTAAAGGTGGTGAGCACTTGTTAATAGTCAGGTTATCAAGATTAGGTTTTGAATCAAGAGTTGTCTTTAAGGTCTACAGACTTACTAAGGGGATTAAGTGGGACAGTGCTCTAGAAACCAGGGTATTCTCTTGTAACAGCCTATTAGAAGAGTGGAAAATTCCCTCCACCCTTTACTAGCCCAGGTACTGTAGGACAAGGGGATAATATTATTGTTCAGGAGTAAATAGTCAAGATTCTACAATGTTGGCCACAAAACTGCCACACACATGAACACACATGTGATGACACCATGTACAGAGTCTGAGCATGAGTCATACCAATTTAAGTGGGTTTTGTGAATGGGAACCTCCACTTTTGAGTGGTAAAAAGAACTCCACACTGGGATATAGTAACAGACTTTTGGGGAAAGTGAACATAGCCTCCAACACACCTACTTGATTTCTTTCGGACCTTGAAGCAGATGAAGGAAATGTGTTTATTGCTTTGTCTTTTATTTTTCCACATTATTTTTTGTTTGTTTTTGTTGTCTTATACAACTCTGCCTTTTCATGAAGAAAGTTATGTTTAGTTTTAAATCTTGTTCTGCAGCAATGTTTGGTAGCAGCTGGAGTCCAAAAGGCATTGCATTTATTTATTGCATTTACTTTTATTGCCTTTTATCTACAAACATTTTTCTGTGTGTGTACTTCACAGTGGTGATAGAGTTCCTTTTTTTGTTTTACATTTCACTAATTAGAAATGTTTCAAAGATTCCCCTGACTGGTGTGGCACCATAGGTTGAGTCCCAGCCTGTGAACCATAGGGTCACTGGTTCATTCCCAGTCAGGGCACATGCCTGGGTTGCAGGCCAGGTCCCCAGTGGGCTGTGCAAGGAGCCAACCACACACTGATGTTTCTCTCCCTGTCTTTCTCCTTCCCTTTCCCTCTGTGTATAAATAAAATCTTTTTTAAAAAAGATTCTCAGTGGTAATCACAATAACACACGCATGCTGAACCTATTAATGTGAGTAAAAACTCAATTTGTAACCCAGAGCCATTTTCATTTTTCAAGAGATGCCTCCTGAAAAAGAATACTTAACCCAAGATACTGTGTCCCTCAGATCTTACAGTTTTGCCATTCTACCTACCTAACCTAAGCAGCTATACCAAAGTGACCTGGACCGAAAACCATTTCATCTGTTCTTTATCCGAGTTCTTCTATCTCTCCAGTGTCCCCCCTTTCTTCTGGACTCAGAGTTGGTCACCTAAGGTCTGGCTCTGCCGGTCTGGTTGCTAAGAGACGAGACGCTGGGAGGGTGGGGTCGCTGCACTGCGACAAGCCAGGGTGTGAACGCTGAGAGGGGGCAGGGGAAGGGCCAAGGCAAACCCGTGCTGCAGCGACTAGTTCGGCTCCCTCCCGCCTGACAGGAGCTCGTCGCTTATTGGCCAGACCACTGTGGCGTTGGGCTGCGATTGGCGGGCCGCTGTCGGGCATGGCGCCCTAGTCCGCGGGCGTTGGTTTCCCAGCCGCTCAGGGCGTAGCGTGAGGGCTCGAAGTGAGGGCGGCGGCAGGGCTGCGGGTCGGGTCGCGGGAGCTTCATGGCCACAGCGCTGGCAAAGGCGGCCGCCGCAGGTGACCGAGGTTCCACGAGGGCCACCGCGGCCCCGTTGAGGTGAGCAAGACGCCTAGGGGTCTCGGGCGCGCAGCTGGCGGGAAGTGCGGCGAGGGGCGGTACCGCTGCCGGACCGCGCGATCTTGCGCGCGGCCTCCACCCACGGCGGGCCGGGCCGGGCGGAGGTCCCCCTGCCCAAACGCCCGCCAGCGCAGTTCGCAGCCCGCTAGCCCGGCCTGCCCCTCATCCCTTCAACCCGTTTCGCCCACGCACCTGCCGAGGGAGCCCAGCTTCTGTCCCCGCAGCCTCGTCCCTCCGCCCCACGCCTTTGTCCGCTTTCCACCAGCTCCGCTCCCAGAGAGTTTCAGCACCACGGGGGTGAAGGTGGAGCGGGAGACAGCGAAGGCCTGGGGTGCCCCGAGGACGCGCGGCGCGGGGACCCCCCGGGCTGAAGGTTTGTCCGGCTGTGGTCTGTTCATCCTGGGTTTCTAATGTCATTTTACATTCTTCTTCCTGACGAACGCCAACCGTCCCCGCTCTCCTTTGAAGTCAGGAAGCCTGGCCGTCAGGCTTCTCCCCTGGTGCGGACCTCCCACCAAAGGCCTTCGACCTGCCCGCCCGGCCCCTCTGGCTTGCCACCTTACCACTGCTTAGGGGAAATTGTCTCTAGAGCCCTTTTCAGTTTTAGAAAAGAAAAATCAGATGTCAGTCGGGGACCTCTGTTGGTCTTAATTAGTTAGATTGGTCTTACAGATACATTTAAATAAGCAAGCTTGTGGGAATGGAGGAGAGAATATGAAGTACGTTCTTAAAATGTGTATTAAACAAATAGATTTTTTTAATTTCTGGTAAATAATACATTTCACTTTAAACATTAACTTTTAAAATATATTATGTCATGGATAGGGGTAGATTTAGTAGTAGTGTAATTTGAGCTTCAAACTTCTCCTTTTGTCACAGTTTTTGGTAATTCTGGACTTGGTTTTTTTCCAGAATGGGATGCACTGTGACATCTGTTCTGAGAGCATTTATGTATTATTAAGGACTATCCATCAATGCTAGCTAGGCCTGTCGTACTTACATGCAGACTCGAAGAGATGCTTTCTTGAACGTTCATTTAACTGGAATTAATACTGGGCACTCTTTGCTTGCTTGGTAGGATTCAGTTGTGTAAAGAAAATGTCAACAGAAAAAAATTTTTCACATCTATATGATTTAAATTATTCTTAAACATGTATATTATATTAGAAATATACAAGTTTTAAGTATTTGGTCTTGGACAGTATTTTTTATAAGTTAACAGGTACCTACACATTGTAGAACACATTAAATATTTTCAGAATTTTAAATAACTTTTTGGAAATTAAAAAAAGCACCTACTTCCTTACCCTGAATTCTAAGTAGACCGTTTTCTACTAAGGCCCAAACAAATGATTTTAAAAATACCCCATGCCCTAACATACTTCTCAAATAATGGAGGTAAATTATTTACTGAGCACCTTTTGTGTGCCAGATAGTGTACTGGGTGCTTTATATATTACTATTTAATCCTTACAATAACTCTAAAGGTAGGTATTATTTTATTTTATTATAGATGAGACCGGTAAAAGTGGATAAGAATCTAGATGTGACTTTCTACTTATTTTGTCAAAAGTGTACTTCACTGAAAAGGCTGCTGTCTCTTTTATCTGCCACATTTATCCTTGTGATTTGTTTAATCAGAGGATCTCTGGTATGGCAGTGTTACTATTACATATAGTCCTTAATGTGTGCTGGGTAGCTCAGTCCAACCTCAAAAGTATGTGGGCTAGCCACTATTTTTTTGTTTTACAGATGATGAGGAAATTGAGGCATAGAAATAAGTAATCTGAATCATATAATACTAAGTGCTAGAACCAGATGGAAAATTTGGGAAATTTGGCTTCAGAGTCTATACTCATATTCACAACGTGATTCTTGCCCATCAACAGGGTAACTCCCTGGTTGCTAAGAAGCTATGTTTTTAAAGTGCTTAATGTTTTTCTTTGTTTCTTTGTAATGTTCATGCAGATACATGTAGGATAACTTTATTATATCTACCACCTGATGGTAGATGAACTACTGCCATTTGCAACAACATGGATGGATCTTGAAAATATTATGCTAAATGAAATAAGTCAGTCAGAAAAAAGCTAAGAACCATATGAGTTCACTCATATGTGGGATATGAAATTGAAACTCATAGACACAGACAGACAACAGCATGGTGGTTACTAGAGGGAAGGGGTTGGGGGACTAATAAAAGGGTTAAGAGGGACAATTCAGTGGCGACAGAAGATGATTTAACTTTGGGTGGTGGACACACAATGCAATTTACAAATCATATATCATAGAAATGTATACCTGAAACCTATATGACCCTATGAACCAATGTTACCCCAATAAATTTAGTAAAAAATATATTTTGTGTGTTATACTTTTAATCACATATTGATCTATCTGTCCATCCTTCATCCATCCACTAAGACATGATATTAAATTCCTATTATATTTGAAGAGTTTGAGCTATATATTTTGTGTTTATTTTAAATCAGCTTCATTTTTCCTTTACGTAGTAGCAGATAATTTTTAGGAATGAATTACAACTGATTTATAATGTTCTGAAAACATTTATAAATAAAATTTGTCTTTTCTATCTATAGTTGCAAAAGATGAGTCGTGGATATTCAGAAAACAACAATTTCCTGAACAATAACAACCAAATGGTGTTGGACATGATCCTTTATCCATTAACCGGAATCCATCAGACCATTAACTGGGAAACTGTGGCAAGGCTTGTACCTGGGTTAACACCCAAAGAGGTAAATAACAGTCTCACAAGTCTCTCCTGAAAAATCAGAAGTGATCAGTTTCTCTATTATTTCTTTTTTTAACCATTTAAAAATTTTATTTTTATTGATTGATATTTAGAGAGAAGAAGAAGAGGCAGAAGAAGGGAGCAGAGAGAGAAAGAGAAAGAAATTGATTGATTTGTTGTTCTACTCACTTATGCATTTATTGGTTGCTTCTTGTATGTGCCCTGACTGGAGATTGAACCTGTGACCTTTTGGTGTATCTGGAGGGTGTTCTAACCAACTCAGCTACCCAGCCAGGGCAAAAGTTATCAATTTCAAGGAACAAACAGAAAAAAAGATATGTTTTACATGTTTATACAACTGAAAATTCACTCACAGTATCTTAATCAATAGAGGTTTTCCTGTGAAGTTATGGGTAGATAAAATTTTTGTAAATAATATTTTACATTATTAAACCCCTAATGCTTTGAGTAATATTCAGACTATTTAAAGGAAAAAACTTAAAACTCCCAACATTGACTTAAACTATTTTATCCTAATGTACAATAAACTAAATGAGCTCTAACAATATTAGGTATAAACATACCTATACCACCATGAACCTAATTTATACATTATAGACAAGGAAAAACTAAAAGCAACACAATTCAAAGTAATAGTGCTTACTTAATGTGATAAGTTTAGTGTTTTTTCTGAAATTAAATTGCTGATTATTACACAAATATTGTGCAGTCTGTTGTGGCACAGAATTTTTTGCATTCAGCCATTACTGCCATGTGCCATTCAAAGCCTTCATTCTTTCTCCACTTTCTCTCTTTAACCTACTAATGAAGCCTTACATTGCACAATAACATTACTTGCCTTGCCTTAACACTATTGCACCCCTCCTACAAGTCCCTTCCCTGCCTTTGTCATTTTTTAAAATTAGCCTTAGACAATTTAAATATTTCTTGGCACGAACTTACTTGTAAACAGACAGCAAATAGGCAGTGAAATAATCTGTCATTGTGATGATCTAGAGGATTTTATTAACATTATTATACTCAGAATTAAAACTTAGAATCTAAAAAATTCTGTAGGGAACTCTCTGATTTCTGATCCTTTGTTAATGAACCCAGGTTTGAGAAACACTAACCTTAGAATTTTTGCGGTTAAAAGGAATCTTGCAGTGAGTGAATCATCTCACAGTTCTAGAAGTAGAAATGATACCAGTGATTTTTCCCGGTATTTGGAATTGGTGATGGAACCAAGTTACACCCTCTTTTTTTTACAGCTGAAAAAAAAAAAGCAGTTCCCAAAGTAACTGTTTTTATCATTTGCCCTCAGTTATAAGTCTTTGTGAAATGATGTTGAAACTTATGATTTAGAGTACCTTATCATTCCCTAATTTATATGTTATCACCTTTAGGATTTTTACATGTTAGACATTAAAAGTTGAAAAAATAATATAGCATCTTTATATCTTTAATGTAGGTTTGGCAATTCTAGGATTTGATCTCTTTATGTAATTTTTTGTGACATTTAAAAGTAGATTTCAGGCATCATGAAACTTCACATTATAGACTGTAGCATACATCTCCTTATAATAAGGACAATATTACATAACCACAGTACCACAATCAAACCTAAGAAAATAACTCCACCATATCATCTAATATCAACTTCATATTCAGAATCACCCGATTGAGGATTTTTTAATTATATTTCTTGATTATGCTATTATATTTGTCCTAATTTTTTCCCCTTTGCCCACCTCCACCCAGCAGTCCCTACCCCATTATGCAATCCCCACACCATTGTTCATATTCATGTGTCATTCATGTAAATTCTTTGGCTACTCCATTTCCTCTACTGTACTTTATATCCCCATAGATATTCTGTAACCACCTATTTGTACTTCTTAATCGCCATGCCTCTTCACCCATTTCCTCACAGCCCCCTCCCATCTGACAACCATCAAAGTGCTCTCTGTATCCATGATTCTGTCTCTGTTCACTTGTTTGCTTAGTTTGTTTTCTAAATTCAATTGTTGACAGATTTGTATTTATTACTATTATATTGCTCATAGTTGTGATCTTCTTTCTCTTAAATAAGTCCTTTAATATTTCATATAATAATTGTTTGGTGATGATGAACTTTTTTAGTTACTTCTTGTCTGTGAAGCTATTTTTCAGCTCTTTGATTCTAAATGATAGCTTTGCTGAGTAGAGCAATCTTGGCCATAGGCATCTGCTTTTCATGACTGAATATTTCTTGCCAGTCCCTTCTAGCCTGCAAAGTTTCCTTTGAGAAATCAGCTGACAGTTTGTGGGAACTCCTCTGTGGGTAACTGGTAACTAACTGCTTTGCCATTGCTGCTTTTAAGATTCTTTATTTTTAACTTTTCCCATATTAATTATGATGTGTCTTGGAGTGGACCTCTTTGTATCCATTTGTTTGGGATTCTCTGTACTTCCTGGATTGCATGTCTATTTCCTTAAACAAATTAGGGAAGTTTTCTTTCATTGTTTTTTCAAATTGGTTTTAAATTTCTTGCTCTATCTCTTCTCCTTCTGGCACCCCTATGATGTAAATGTTGTAATGCTTGCAGTTGTCCCAGAGGCTGCTTACAGTAGTACCCTTGGGGTCTTTTTAATTCTTTTTTCTTCTTGTTCTGATCAGTTGTTTTTTTGCTTCCATATATTACAAATTATTGATATGATTCTCAGCATCATCCATTCTGCTGTTGTTTCCTGTAAATTGTCCTTCATTTCAATTAGTGTATCCTTCATTTCTGACTGGATCTTTTTCATGCTGTTGAGGTCCTCACTAAGTTCCCTGAGCATCCTTATAGCCAGTATTTAACCCCTGCATCTGATAGATTGCTAATCTCCATTTTATTTAGTTCTTTTTCTGGAGTGTTGATCTGCTCTTTCATTTGGGCCACATTTCTTTGCTCATTTCGCAGCCTCCCTGTGTATGTTTCTATGTGTTAGGTAGAGCTTCTACGACTCCTTATCTTGGTATTGTGGCCTAATGTAGTAGGGGTCCTTGTAGGTAGGGTCCAGTGGCATAGCCACCCCATCACCCAAGCTTGGTACTTGAGATGTGCCCTTCAGTGCACTGAGTACACCCTTCTTTTGTAGTTGAGCCTTGATTGATGTTGGCAGATCAATGGGAGGGAATTACCCAGGCCTGTCAGCTGCAAGGACTAGCCGTGACCACTTACCACCAACCTCTGCCCTCTGTGGAAGATCAGCCGCGCAGGGGCAGCATGTGTAGGCTCATAAGTTGAGTGGGACAGAGTCTCAGGTAATCTCCAGGGGCATGGCAAAGAGTATTAGCCAGTTTGATGGAGTCTCAGATCTGACACCTGCCTGCAGGCTCTGTGGCTCTGTGGCTATGTATGAGGAGGCTTCAGAGGCTCTGTGGCTATGTATGAGGAGGCTTCAGAAGAGACAGTGGCCTCTGCCTGCCTTTCTGTCTGGGAGAAAATTGTCCCCTGGCTCTTGCCTTGATGCCAGGCCCTTCAGTTTCTCCCTGTGTGCCACTGGGGCCTTTCAAGCTGCTACCCTGTTGCTGGAGCTCAGAACAAGTGAATCTGAGTAAGTCCATGTGCAGGCTGCCTAAGAGGCACTGCTTGGGACTCCAGTAGTTCCTTTCATCGACTCAAACCCCAGAATTTATACAGCCAGAATTTATGTGAGTTTATCTTTCTGGCACTGGAACCCTGGGCTTGGGGCTTGGTGTGGGGCTGGGACTTCTCAGTCCTGAGATATCCCTCTTGAATATTTACTCATCACACATGTATATGGGACCAGTCTGTTCCATGTCTGCCCCCCTTCTACCAGTATGGATGGATGTGGTTTCTTTAATTCCATTGTTGTCAGACTTCCATTCAGCTTGATTTCTGACAGTTCTAGTGGTGGTTGTTTAACATTTTAGTTGTAATTTTGATGTGGTTGTGTGAGGAGGCGTGTGTTTCCCTATGCTGCTGTCTTAACTGAAAGTTGAGGATTTTTTTTTAACCAAAATACAACTACATGGTGAATCAGATTATTTTTAAGTAGTGTTAATTTTTACATAATTTTCATTACTAAACATAACATGTCCTTAAAGAATACATACCCACAAAGACAATAGCAAAAAATCAGAATTTATTAATTTCACCTCAGCTAAAGTATATACCTTGTATATATCCTTCCGGATTCTTTTCTATACATGTATGAAATCTTCATGTGGCCTTGTAACAAATGTTACTTTTTTGCTGCATGCTTCTTTATTTCATATATTATAAATATTTTTATGTGTCAGTTCATAAATAGAATTCTGTTACATTGGATGGAGTATACTATTCTTTTATTTGAGTTATATCATAATTTTCTGAACCAGTCCCTTTTGTTGGATAGTTAGGCTATTATTTTCAAATTTTGACTACTACAAATGCCACTTTAATAAATATCTGATTCTCCTTTCTTCAGGGGATAATCTCAGCAGCAGAATTGCTTGATTAGGGTGCTTGTGCATTTTTAAGGCTTTGTTACACATTTCCCACTAGAAGGGTCATCCATGTTATACTCTAGTCAACATAGCTGAGTGCCTGATCCTTGCACTTTTTATATAAGTATTACTTATGTGTGTGTCTTCTCAAAATTCATATATATATATGTGTATATATATAATCTTACATATATATAATCATATATATATATAAGATTTTATTTATTTTTAGAGAGAGGGGAAGGGAGGGTGAAAGAGAAGCACAGAGACATCAACATGAGAGAAACATCAGTCGGTTGCCTCTTGTATGTACCCCTACCAGGAACTGAACCTGCAACCCAGGCATGTGCCCTGACCGGGAATCAAACCAGCAACCTTTCACCTTGCAGAACAATGCCCAACCATTCAGGACTCATTTGTATATTTTTTTAATAAATGCTATCTTATTGCCATTTTAATATAACCTTTCTTTAAACCCTGAAGAGGTTAAATGTTTTATATTGTTCCATGTCTTTTTTCTGTTTCTGGTTTTGTTACTGGTATAATAATAGTTTTGTATGTATTAAATATGTTAACCCTTGATCTAGCTTATTTTTCTGTTTTCAGCCTATTATAATAGCCACTTATATTCAAATGTTTAAAACTTTATGTTAAAATTTATGAATATTTTACTCAGATATATGTCTTTTTCATCATGCTTAGAAAATTCTTCTCACCTGATTTATACCTGTATATTTTTGAGTCTTAATAGTTTTAACTCTTATGTTTAGTCTTTTATCTATTTGAGCTAATTTTTATATGTGGTGTGAGGTAGGGAGTCCAACCTCATTGTTTTGTACATAGATACATAATTTTTGCTTAATTACAAAAAATAACAATATATTTTAAATTTTTTATAGTTTATTTCTTTTTTAAGCAACCATGTATTCATTTCAAATATCCATAATTTATAATTTTCTTGTTTTTTTCAAACTTTTTAATGATTATGCTGTTACAGTTGTTCTATTCCCCCTTTCATTCCCCTCCACCCTACCCCCCCATCCCCACCATTACCCCCCCTTTAGTTTATGACCATGTGTCTCAAGTCCTTTAGATTCTATATTTCCCATGCTATTCTTGCCCCCCCATCTATTTTCTATCTACTGTCTATGCTACTTATTTTCTGTACCTTCTCCCCCCTTCTCCTCCTCCCACTCCCCTGTTGCTAACCCTCCTTGAGATCTTCATTTCTATGTTTCCACTCCTGATCTAGCTGTCCTCTTAGTTTGCTTTCGTTTTAGGTGTGGTTCTTAATAACTGTGAGTTTGCTGTCCTTTCACTGTTCATGTTTCTTTAACTTCTTTTTCTTAGATAAGTCCCTTTAACATTTCATATAATAAGGGCTTGGTGATGATGAACTCCTTGAGTTTGATCTTATCTGAGAAGCACTTTATCTGTCCTTCCATTCTAAATGAAAGTTTTGCTGGATAGAGCAATCTTGGTTGTAGGTCTTTGGATTTCATGACTTGGAATACTTCTTTCCAGCCCCTTCTTGCCTGTAAGGTCTCTTTTGAGAAATCCACTGACAGTCTGATGGGAGCTCCTTTGTAGGTGACTGTCCCCTTATCTCTTGCTGCTTCTAGGATTCTCTCCTTCATTTTAATTTTGGCTAATGTAATGCTGATGTGCCTTGGTGTGTTCCTTCTTGGGTCCAACTTCTTTGGTACTCTCTGAGCTTCCTGGATTTCCTGGAAGTCTATTTCCTTTGCCAGATTGGGGAAATTCTCCTTTATTATTTGTTCAAATAAGTTTTCCACCGGTGGCTGTGCCTTCCCCCCTTCTGGTACCCCTATAATTCGGATGTTGGAGCGTTTAAAGATGTCCTGGAGGTTCCTAAGACTCTCCTCATTTCTTTGAATTCTTGCTTCTTGACTCTTTTCTGTTTGGCCATTATTTGCTTTCTTCTGGTCCACTTCATTGATTTGAGTCCCAGTTTCCTTTTCATTGCTATTGGTGTCCTGTGCAATTCCATTCATTTCAATTAGTTTCGCCTTCATATATTTGTCTAATTTGTGGCTATAATCAACCAGTTCTGTGAGGATCCTGATTACCAATGTTTTAAACTGTGCGTCTGAGAGTTTTTCTATTTCTTCATCGCTTAGATCTATAGGCTCTGGGGCTTTGAGATCTTCTTGCGCCCTTTAAGTGCGAGAAGCGGTGCCTTGGTCTCCCAGGTCGCTGGGTTGTGATGCTGTATGTGGGGGCGTGGTCAGAGCGGGGGAAATGGCGACCCCCTCTGCTGTTTCTCACAGCTGGGTGAGGATCAGCGCCTTAGGTGGTTCACCTGGACCAGGCCACTCAGAGTCGCTGGGTTATGACGTTGTATGTGGAGGTGGGGTCAGAGCAGGGAAATGGCAGCGCCCTCCATTGCCGCTTGCGGCGGGACCCGCCGGCCCAGTCCAACCGCCCACTCCCTCGCCTGTCCACCCACGCACAAATGCGCGACCACAGTCCACACGCAGCCCCGCCACCCCGCTGTCTCCCCCGCGGTCGCTCGCCTGGTCGCTCGCTCGGTCGCTCACTAGGTCCAACCCTGCGCCTGGATTCCGCGCGCCTGAATCCATCTGACGGAGTTTTCCTGTGCAACCCCGCTTCACTAGTCGCTGGTTTCGCCCCTTACCAGTCAGGCTGAAGAATTTGTTGTTAACGGACTTCCGAAAAGTTCAATTTTCCATGTTCTAGCTGTGTTTTCTGTTGCTAATATTTAGTTGTCTCTAAACTTGGTTGTGTGAGAAGGCACGGCACATCCACCTATGCCTCCATCTTGGGGGAAGTAATTTTCTTGTTTTTAAACTATTAGAAATTGCTGTAAGCTTTGTTAAATAAGTCTATTTATACTCAGTTTCCAAATAAGCTATAAACTTCACTTGAAAGATAAAAAGAATCTATGTTTTAAAACTTACCTTCCACTTTCTTTGTGTTAAAAAATAAATTCATTTTGTAGGAAAAATGGATCCAGTAATATATCATTTATATTATTTTATGTTCTACACATGAACCTGTACATATTTCTACTAATGATGTTCTAGCATCATTTCTCTTTTGTTCCCAGACTTTCAGCAGTATTTTTTTCAGTACTCATAAACAAATATTTTCTGTTTCTCATTTATCATATTACTTATTTTTATTTAATTTTAAGACTTAGTTTAAAGAGATGAGAATATTGATTACATAATATTTCAGTCCACATTTACTTATCTTTTAGAGCCTTTTAAAAAAATGTTACTTCACTTTTCAAAGGCTTGAGTAGGCATTTGTGGTAGTAACTGTGTAAATAATGCTTTCTGAAAATAGTGCTTAATATCTAGTGGGTACTTGTTAAATATTTGTGTAATAAATGATTGATGCCATACCCAGTGCATTATTCACTTAATATGTACATATACATGATATATATGTGTGTGTGTGTATATATATATATATATATATAGTATATTCCAGATTACTTAATCCTCTATAGGATTTATCATCCACTTTGATGTTGATGAGATTTATAAACAGATCCTGTAGCAGTGTTGTTTGATCAATACCCACAGTAAGGAAGGCATTTTATGTTATCACCCAAAACACACATAGAAGTGACATTTTTGTGAAGGAGTGCTTAGCTTAATGCACTCTTGATATTTTCTGATCCATTCTATTTTATTTTTTTCAGTTGCTAATCTGGACCTTCTCACTTGATTTCATGACTAACTGATGGGTTAAGGGAAAACACTGTACTAGAGCAAACTATGTCCAAATATGTGTCAATGAAATATTTTGTGCAAGGTGAACCTCATTGTTAGTAGGAATAGTCTTTTGTTATTTTAACAGAGAAAGTCTGGTGTCACAAATCAGATACTTTTTGGTCTAGTTTCCATTGAGGGTTAGAATTTAGTCTTATTCCTGGTGGAAATGCAATATAAAAATATTAGCCATTGTTTACTAAATTATTTAAATTGTCAACTGATCATAACAGCAGACCACAGGGAAATGTGGCTGATAAAAGCATTCTTCATTTTTCTACAAGAGCATAAACATATTATGTCTTTGGGTTAAGTTGGGTTTTTTTAAAATTCTGCCCTGAATTTTTTAAAAAATCAATCAGTGGCTTTTGTATATTGAAATGTATGCTTATTTTTTGCTAGTTACCCTATGGATTAATATTCACTTACAAAAAATAATTATAGGCTCTGGCTGGGTAGCTCAGTTGGTTAGAGCATCATCCCCATATACCAAGGTTGCAGGCTTGATCTCCAGTCAGGGCACATACAAGAGTCAACCAATAATGCATAACTAAGTGAAAAACAAATTGATCTCTCTCTCTCTCTCCCCCCTCCCTTTCTCTCTCCCCTCCCCTTTCTCTCCCCTTTCCTCTTTCTATCTAAAATCAACCAATAAAAAAATAAATAAAAATTATAGTTATAGAAAAGTATCTTCAAGTATCTCAATAGTAGGCAAAACTATATATCCTCATTTTTAAATTACAAAAACTTCCAGACCCACATTTTCTTCTTTTTATATTGTTACAGTGCGCAAAAAGGTTTGAGGAACTGAAGAGCAGTGGAAGTTCACCTGTTGACAACCAGTATAGTCTCCTAATGGCAGGAGAGAATCCTGTCAAAACTTTAGCTACATATATCAAATCCTCACTTCTTGATACACAGGGAGAATTTCAGGAGACTTCAGTTGATCAGGATGCAGTTTCCAAAACAGGTAAGGTTTTAAAACAAAATGCTATTTGTCCTTTAATTCTGCAAAATATTATGCATTCCAGTCATCTTTCCTTTATTTATTTAAAGGCTAATATAAACATTAATAGAGAAATCTATTAGTATTTGTATCTTCCTAAATTTTAGAAATTTGTTTTTTCTATATGTGAAAAAATTTAAATGTTAATATACAGATGAAATACTTTTACCAAAAAAGCTCTTTACCAAAATTTACTTCTCCAATCTGTTAGCCTACTAATGTCATAAGTTTTGGAATTTGACCTATATGTTTTACTTAAATTATTTTTTGTTTATGTTTTTGTTTGTTTATCACTAAGAGAACCTTGCTTGTTTCTTGTGTTAATCTTTTTTACAGTTATCCTTTATTACAGTCAACAACAGCTTCAAATGACACAGTGGCAGGGTTGAAGAGATGTTTCCATGATTGCTTTGGAAATAACAACTCATTTTAGAAATCCTTGTAGGGAATTATTTCAGTTTCAGCAACAGCAGTCAGAGTATTGATGTAAAACTTTACTTCAGGAAGAGAAATGTATACAGTTAGCTTTGAGCATTTGACCCTGTCTGTACATACATACCATATCAGTATTTATTTTTAATCTTCATTGTAATATTAGCAATCTGTTATCCCTTTTTTGTACTGTTTCTTCCATAGACCTTTGGAAATATTGAGGGATATGGCACGTGACAAAGTACCATCTTTCTTTGAAAACCATGCATTTACAGTATAACCATTCAATAAGTGAAAACTATTCTGAGCTAGAAATGCTAACCTCCCCCCTTTGTTTTTGTATGTGTTTGTTTCTGTATTTAAGGAAGACATAGTATAGCTTCCACAAGGAATTGTTCTTCAGAAAGTGAAAACTGTACTACACATAATGGTGGAGAAAAGACTGAAGAATCTGAAGGGTAGGAGGCTGGTTCTTTGCTAGATAAGACTTAATATGAATATCAACTTAATATATGTATGATTGGTGATTGTATACATCAATTACCATAATTTAGGAAATACCACATTACACAGTTGCTAAAACAATTGAAATCAGTTTAGTTCATGTATTGAACTATAAATAATTGTTTAATAGCTAAACATATGACTTATTTGTGTTATTTATAAATTAGACTAGTTTTTCATTTAAAAAATTTACTTTTATTTTGTGAATATTAGAAACAACATCTATTAACATAAAACTTTAAAAGTAAATTTTAAAATCCAAAGAAAAATCTGTCATTGATTCTCCAACTCTATTTAAAAAACTGGGTATGTATTTTAGAATGACATATTTGAATATAGTAAAAATTAGAGTACATCTTTCAATATATTACAAGTTTTGTATTGTTTCACGTATTTTACATACAATAAACTGCACATATTTTAAGTATTCACTTTGATGAGTTTTCACATATGGGCTCACCAAGTAACCATCATCCAGATGAAGATATAGAGCACTTTCATTGTCTCTGACAGTTCCTTTGTGTATTTTCAGTTTAGATAGTTCTTTTACACCAGATTTTTAAAAAGATTTTATTTATTTATTTTTAGACAGAGGGGAAGGGTGGGAGAAAGGGAGAGAAATATCAGTGTGTGGTTGCTTCTCACGCGCCTTCTACTGGGGACCCAGCATGCAACTCAGCATGTGCCCTGACTGGAAATCGAACTAGTGACCCTTTGGTTTGCAGATTGGTGCTCAATCACTGAACCACACCAGCCAGAGCTAACAGCTTTATTACCGTATAATTTACATACCAAAACATTTCCCTTTTTTGAAAACATTCCAGAGATGGATGGTAGTGATGATTGCACAACAGTATGAATGTACTTAATGCCACTGGACTTTACACTTAAAATAGCTAAGAGGGCAAATTTCATGTTATGTATATTTTACCACAGTAAAATAAAAAAAACACCCTTTTAAAGTAATTTTTTGTTTATTTACATAATTTTTTTAACTGATAGATTTGTTTGTATGGCAGAAGAATTTCATCAGATAATTTCTGTACTGGAATTATCTAGTATTTCATTTTGTGGTCCAAAAAGCCACACAAACTTTATGCTTCATTGTACCAACGATTACCTGTTAATATTTTGACCATAATTTCTTTGGAAGAACAATTTGCCAAGAGTTAAATTCCTTTGACTTTAACAGATTGTTGATTAATAATCCCTTTTCTGGTAGCTCAATTTTATTTTAAATGTAATTAATTAATTAATTCCTTTTAATTTTTAAATGCACTTGACATTCAGTATTTTTTTCAATTGCAGTTGATATTCAGTATTATTTTATATTTGTTTCAGGTGCATGGCATAGTGGTTAGAACAAATGTAATTTTTTTATTAGAAAATTATCAAGTTTAATTAAACAGACATTAAATTCCTACTGTAGGACAGTGTATCTCTTCCTATTAATCTCTTCCTTTTGTAATGACATGAAGGCACTTATTGATCACACTAATGGTTCTTTTTGAGGTAATGTAATTTTCAAGGAGTATATATCAACTCAAAGCAATCATTCTGTATATTATCTAAACTTATCAAATTATTTTTTAAATATGTAAATAACCACATTCTAGTCTTCAGAAATCTTTAACTACATTTACTCATTTATATTTATTAAATGTCTGGCAAACTTTCTTGCTGTTAAAAATGAGTAAGTTGCCATGCTAATTTTTTAATTCTTTAACTAGTAGGAAGATTTTAGTACTTAACTTTATCTCCTTCCTAGGCCCATAGCCATGTAAAAGTGCTGTTTTATGTTCATGATAAGAATTAGAATATATTATTCGATTTTTCTTGGTGAATTGATATTGTTTTCTAAAACTTTATAACTTGAAAATAATATACAGGGTCTGGCACAAATAATTCCCCCTTTTGTTACAAAATATTTTATTACAAAATCATAAGCATGTAATTCTGTAACATAACAATATCACACTCAAGCACACCATATGACATTTTAGGTAAAATATTCAAATTAAAATTATGAATTATTATACTCATATTATTACCATACCAACGACACTCAACCAAGTGTTACTTCTGCCGGACCCTGTATTTAAACCCTGTAAATTATGAGTCCCATAGTAAAAACTTTTTATTTGTTTTATTAAGACAGTAGTTTAACTAAAGTTATTCCTAATCTAAGATATATATCAGATTAGCAAGACACTTAAATCCTGTAATACTGATTTGTGGTCAAACCTTCAAAAACATGTCAGTATGCTTGGCTCCTCTTCTAAAACTCTTAATAATTTCACTTCTGTGTAACATTTTTTATGAAGGCCAAACATGGTGATCCATGTATGTGATGAAGCAAAAAACTTGAAAGAAGATTTTATTTGCCCACGAGATCTTTTAATATCAGAAATGAAGTACTTTGCTGAATATTTATCTATGGATGCCCAGCGCTGGGAAGAGGTGGACATTTCAGTTCATTGTGATGTTCAGATTTTCAACTGGTTGATAAAATACGTTAAAAGGAACACTAAGGAGAATAAAGATTGTGAGATGCCTACTTTAGGTAAAAGACAATCTATTACTTATTTTGTAATAATTACACTTATGTGTCACCTGGTAGTTGCTTCAGGCCAAACATGAAATGTGGAAAATTGCCTGAACATTAGCATTAATACTCAGATTAGTAATTGCCATTTAGGAAAGTGATATCTCATCTTTTTTAGTAAATTATAGTGGATTTATGGCAAATGGACAGGTCTCTAGATCAGCAGTTCTTACTGTGTGGTCCATGTACCACTGGAGTCCTGGAGGATCCTTTCAGAGAATCTACCAGGTCAAGACAATTTGCATAATAATACACAAAATGTTATTTGTCTTTATATGTTGACATTTGTTCACGTGGTGCAGAAATAAAGGAGGGCAAAACTGTTGCAGTTTTAGCACATGTCAAAGCCAGGGCACCAGACTATACTAGTGGTCACTGTATTTTTCAGCACCATGTGCTCATAGTAAGAAGGAAAAAAAGAAAATCCAGGTTCACCTACGAATGTCTTTGATGAAGCAGTACAAATTTTAATTATACTAAGTCTTGACCCTTGAGTTTACATCTTTCTCATGTTCTGTGAGATGACACAGGAAGTGTACTTCTGCTGCACACTAAAGTATGATGTGAGGAAAAATACTTGTGCAGTTGTTTGAGTTGCAAGCTAACCTAGTTGCTTTTTTGAAAAAAGAAAACCATTTTTACTTGAAAGAATGACTGACAGACAAATTATGGTTATTCAGACTTAGGCATTGGCAGATAATTTTCTTGAAAATGAATTAAGTGAGCTGGTCAGCTAAAGGGAAACAACTGCTAGTATTTGTTGCCAATAGTAAAATTCAAGCTTTCAAATGAGAATTAAAGTTTGGAAATCTTACATGTGTTTTCATGTGCTTAACAGTTTCTTAATATTTAAAGTCTTTTCTGATGAGACTTGTGATTTTTTAATATATTATACAATGAAATGTTTCAACCTTTACAAGATTTATGTAACTCATTGAACGAATATTTTCCAAATGACCAATGCATGATGTTAAGACAATCATGCATGGGATAAAGATTCAAATCACAGGGTAAATCAATAGATTTTGAGGTTACATTACAGGAAAGTTCATTGATATGATTTCAGATACCATTACAACTAACCTTAAGGAAGTACCACTTGTCAAGTTTTGATGTAACATCAAAGAAGACTACCCACATATTGAATGTAGAACCAGATATGAGAATCCAGTGGTCTTCTATTAAGTCAGACACTGAAGAAATTTGCAAAAAATGTCAAATACTGCTATTCTTCTCTATAATTTTTTTTCATTTTGGAAAAGTTATTTTTCATAAAAATATGTGAACACATGATGTTTATTTTTTTAAATGACTTAACAAATGTTTTCTGTTTTAATTTCTAGTATAGTAAATACTAATAAATATAATCCATATAAACAAAAGCTCTTTAGGAGTCTCAGTTTTTAAGATTGCAAAGGGGTCTTGAGAGCAAAAGTTTGAGAACCAATATTCTAGATAATGTGAATAACAATTACTAAGTAAGTAATCTTTCATTGGGCATAGAGTTGTACAGGAACTCTCACTAGTGGTTTAATAAAGTCTTTCCGTGCACTAGAATTGCTATTTACAGCAAAACCAAAATATTTCTAAGTTCTTACTAGTAAATGAATCTCTACAGACAGTATAAAATTTTCTGAGGAAGCTTATAATTTATTACATTTTAATGACAAAACTTAATGGAAAAGGCTGCTAGTGATCCTTAAATAAAAATGACAAGATTGCTAAATCAAGTATTTCAGCCAGTCAGAGTCCAGAGATTTCAGACCATCCAGATATATATACATGTGAACTAAAAATCTATGTAAAGAAAAAAAAACTTGTTTGACCCAGCAAATTTAATATGTATAGTAAAGGTAAAAAGAAGTGTATTAAAACTACTCACTGTAATCTTTGACTTTAAACTAGTGAATGGAAATGTAAAATTTTATAAAAAGCAATGTTTTTTTAGGTTATTCTAACCTAAAAACTACCAAAATGCTTAATTAAGTTTCTGAAAATCCACACATTGCTCGTCTGGAATGGGTCATATTACAATTTCCTAAGGAACTTTTTTTATTTGAGAACCTTTCATCTAGAATTGTTATTTAAGGAAACATTGGATTATTTATTTTAATCATTGTATCATTCTTTAGGTGAACTGTCTTAGTACTATAACGGCAAAAATCAGGGTTTTTTTTTTCCTTAAATATACCTCACATGAGATGACTTAGGTTGACTAAAAGAGTAGTATTGCCTGGCATACCACTTTCCCTGGTTATGCCTCTGAAGGCTCACTCAGTCTGCCTGTGGGAAGTAACTTTAGCAGTTCTTCAGGAGTAAATTTTATATTATCTTTCAGAATTATTTTCATTAAGAATTTGTAACAAGCATTGAATTGCTTTTGAAATAACTAGGGCTCTCCTTAAATCATTTAAAAAGTTTTCTCACTGATTTTTGTGTGATGTATTCTCAGTTTTAATTATCTTCTTTCCTGGTTTAGTTAAGGAGAAGTTTGCTTATGTCTTATCATTAGCTGGAGTCTTTTCACTTGATGTGACTCTAATTCCAGGAAAATTTACTGTGCATTTTCTCTGTACCCTAAGTTTGAACATTGAATTTTGTTCCTTTGATATATGTAAGTCATAGTAAATTTATCATAAATTGTTCTTATTAAAGAATCATCCTCTTTTCATATGAAAATTAACCTGTTATGAGGACATTGAGGTACAAATCAAAAGGAGAATTTAATTTTTTTTTTTTTTAGAGCCAGGAAATGCCATTTCAATTCTTATTTCTTCAGAGTTTTTGAAAATGGATTCATTGGTAAGTATTTTGGGATGTTTTTTATTTTATTTTTTTTTAATTTTAATTGTTGTTAAAGTACAATTTGCTGCCTTTTACCCCCTTTCCAGCCCACCCACATTGGTAAGTATTAATAAAAGATCTAAGTTCTGTTCACCCATGCTTGATTTAACATTTAACTTGATTTTTCCTTCCAGTGTTAGAAAATTCTAAGTTATCTTTTTGAAGCAATTGTTAATTCAAGAGTGTAATTCCATTATAATAAACTGCTCGTGTTTGAAGGTATTTTGGTCTGTTGTGAAAGGAGTCGAGGCCACTATATATCATTCGTATGTGATGCCTATAAAGAAAGCAGTTTATCCTCATGGAGTAGCTCTCTTTTGTATTAGATGAAACTAAACAAAATTAACTTTACCCTAAAAGAGAGTTTGCTCTAAAACCAAACTAAATGAAAATTAATTGGAATATATTTGTTTCATTATTTAAGCAATTTCTTAATTTATTTCACTATTTAAGTAATTTCTTAATGCTAATTTGTCTTTCACTTATAGTTGAGTGAATTAAGAACAAATACCCAACTATTAAACAATATAATTTTGTATGAGTAAATCAGATGCCCATGTCTGTTGTTTAAAAGTAGTTGATTAAACATAAAAGCACAATATAGACATATACATATCAAGCTTTAACATTAAATATATTTGTTTTTTTATTTAATGAACTTATCATTCAAATATTTTAATATATTTTTATGGTTGTACTCTCAATAATATTTGCTTTTGGTCCCTAATAAAACTACAGAGGACAGAATTCTTCTTTGCTATGTTAATGGATGTAAAATTTCTTTGATAATTGGGGTTTTACTAGTTTTTTGTATTCTTTCTAACCCTTAGTCCCTCCCCCATTCAGTCACTGATGTTAATTGTTTCAGGGAAAGGTTAACAGAAAGAAAAAAAGTCCTTACCATTTGAATTTTAAAATCTAAGCCCTAGAGGATAATTTTTATCCCATAAGCAAAATACATGTTCGAAGAATACATGTTTAGAGAATGCTAGTTTTCCCCAGAACCCAAACCCACCTCAAAAAGTAAATAAATATACCCTCAGGTTGGAGAAAGGGAAGGAAAGTCAGAGACCAGCACAATAGGATTGAGAAAACCCTGAAGTCACTGATAATATGTTTTGTGCTACTTCAGGGAAATGGAAATTTAAAATTGTAACTATGTTTAGTGATAGGGAATCAGATATCCTGTGCATTTGAGTTGGTGGACTAAAATTTATACCTGCCAAAACCATGAGAGATGCTCATTGCATCTTTAAGAAGGTTGAAAATTATTTTTCTAGCTATGTATATGTTTGTACAAATTTGACCCACTGGAACACTTTGGAACAGTATAGATAACCCAAATAGGCAAAACCAGGCAAGACCTAGCAATACATATATAAAGCTTTTCATGAATTTTATCTTTGAAAGGTACTAATATGACATTATCCTTCATGCTACTATTTTCATCATTCATTTTCTATTGTGTGTTTTTTAGGTTGAACAATGTATTCAGTATTGCCATAAAAATATGAATGCCATAGTAGCTACTCCATGCAACATGAACTGTATTAATGCAAATCTTCTTACACGTATAGCTGATGTGTTCACACAGAATGAGGTTGATGATTTAAAGGACAAGAAAGATAAGTTTAGGAGGTAATTTTTAATTTTAAATCTTGTGTTTCTATTAGGAAAAAATATTTCTTTCATTTTAGTAAAATATTGTTTTAGATTATATTTAGAAATATATTTTCATTTTACTATAAGTGAAGTAAAATTTATCTAGAGCTAATTGCTCAAGGTAAAATTAGTAACAAAATTAGTTATTTTGTATAATGTACATACAAGTTTATTATGGCAGTGAATTATGTGAAAAATTATTAAGAAAGGCCTTAGTATAAAGGAGAAAGGTGGTATGAAGTAGGGTCAGCAGTAGTCTTATCACTTAGGTGCTGTTTAGGTCATAATAAGGAGTATATACTTTCTTCTAAGTATGAATGTAAGGAGAGGAATAGCGTGATATGATTTGTTAAGAAATCATTTTGGCCCTGACTTGTGTGCCTTGGTTGGATGTCGTTCTGCAAAGTGTAAGGTCATCAGTTCAATCCCCAGTCAGGGCACATGCCTGGTTAGCAGGTCCCTGGGCTGGGCACATATGAGAAGCAACCAACTGATGCTTTCTGCCTCCTTTCTCCTCTCTCTAAAGATAAATAAATAAAATCTAAAGAAAGAAAATCATCTTGGTTGCTCTCTGGAAATAGATTATAAGGAAGTAGGAAGCAAAGAGACCTATTAGGAAGCTAAGGCAGTAGTCTGGTGAGAGACAAAAGGGTTGCAATGGACTAGAGTAGAAGCAGTGGAGCTTGGTAGAAGTAGAAAGATTCATAGTAAGTCATTGGAAAGAGTGGACAGTCCGTTCAAGATGGTGACATAGGCAGATATGGCTCACCTCCTCATATAACCACATCAAAATTACAACTAAAACAGAACTATCACTCAGGAATATCAGAAATTCAGTTAAATGGAATTCTGACAACTACGGAATTGAAGAAACCATATCCATCCAGACTAGTAGGAGTGGTGCAGATGCAGAATGGACTGGCACTGCACCCACATGGATAAAAATTCTCTGGGGATATCTCAGGAGCGAGGAGTGCCACACCCACATCCGGCCCCCCAGCCCAGGATTCTAGTGCCAATAAGTCCCCACAACATCTGGCTGTGAAAACTAGTGGGAATTGAGCCAGTGGAGGAGGCTGCTAAAGCTCTAAGCAGTTCCTCTTGTGGACCCCACACACAGACTCACCTACTCAGACTTGCTCCCCCTGAGTTCTAGCACCAGGTTGGCAGCTGGAAGAGCACCACTGGTATACAAGGAGAGACTGAAGTGTCTGTCATCGGGGCAAGCAGAGGCCATTGTCCCTATGCTGAGCTCCCCGCACCCCCAAACTCTGCACCCCCCACCTTGGCACAGAGCTAGTAGGCTGGTTCCATATCTGCAACTTCATCATCCTGGCTAACACTGTATGACCTACCTTGGAGATCCACAGAGGCTCTACCCCACCCAATTTACTGGCCCACCCAAGCTGCTTTTCCATAAGAAAGTCTCATCTTGGCTCCTAAAACCAATCAAACAAAAAACACCTGGCTTTAGTAAGCCCTAGGGCAGCAAGATTACAGTCACAGCTTGGCTTCACCTGGGAATCTCTAAGCCCAACACAAGTAGCAACCATCTAAGATTGCTTTATATTTCAGGCAGGGTGCCCCTGTGCAAAACACAGGTGGGGGCTGACCACGGCTTCCACCACCCAGGGAACCCCAGGTCCAGCATACCCAGTGGATAGCTACAGACCAAGTTGGAGCACCATCATCCTTGCCCCTGCACAGCTGATCCTCCATGGAGGGCAGAGGTTGGTGATCAGTGGTCACAGCCATTCCATGTAGCTGACTGGCCTGGGTAAATCCCTCTCATTGATCCACCAACAGCAACCAAAGCTCAACTACAAGAAGAGGGTGTATTCAGCCCATAGAAAGGGTGTGTCTCAAGTACCCAGCTTGGGTAATGTGGAAGGCTGTACCACTGGACCATACAAGGACACCCACTACATTAGGCCACACTACCAAGACACAGAGTCAAAGCAACTCTAGCTAATATATAGAAACAAACAAGGGAGGCTGTCAAAATGAGACAAAGAAACATGGCCCAAATGAAAAAACAGATCAAATCTCCAGAAAAAGAGCTAAATGCAATGGAGATAAGCAATCTATCAGACACAAAGTTCAAAACACTGGTTATAAGGATGCTCAAGGAACATAGTAAGGACCTCAAAAGTGTAAAAAAGATCCAGTCAGAAATGAAGGATACACTAATTGAAATAAAGAACAATTTATGGGGAAGCAACAGTAGAATGGATGAACCCGAGAATCAAATCAGTGATTTGGAACATAAGGAAGCAAAATACAACCAATGATAACAACAGGAAGAAAAAAGAATTAAAAAAAATGAGGATAGTACGATCAGCCTCTGTGACAATTTCAAGAGGTCCAAAATTTGCCTCATAGGGGTGCCCAAAGGAGAAGAGAAAGAGCAACAAACTGGAAATATGTCTGAAAAAAAAAAAGTGAATGAAGACTTCCCATTTGATGAAGGAAATAGATGTGCAAGTCCAGGAAGCACAGAGTCCCAAACAAGATGGATGCAAAGAGGCCCACTCCAAGACATATTAAAAGGCCAAAGGTTAAAGATAAAGAGAGGCTTTTAAAAGCAAGAGAAAAGAAATTAGTTAACAGAAGGTTGCCAGGTGGGAGGGGGCAGGGGGAGAATGGGTGAAGAGTTGAGGGGATTAGGAAGTACAAGTAGGTAGTTAAAGAATAGCCATGGAGATGCGAAGTACAGTATAGGAAATACAGTAGCCAAAGAACTTACACACCTAACCCATGGACATGAACAGTGGTGGTGGGGGGATTGCCTGAGGGGGTAGGGGACACAGGGTGGAGTAGGGATAAAAGGGCAAAAATCAAGATTCCTGTAATAGCATAATAAATAAAATACAATTTTAAAAAAGGAGTTGACAGGTGTTTCAAATGTAATGGTGTAGGAAGAGAGAACATGCTAGGGCAATTACCAGGTTTTCAGGTTGAGCAACTAATCAGTAGTGTCATTTACAGAGAGTGGAAAGATTGAGGTGAGGGGAATCAAGAGTTGGTTTTGGATCATGTTAAAACTTTAATATATTTAATGTACTTTTAAACATCAGGTAGGATATCAGGTAGAGAGTTAAATGTACAAGTCTGAAGTTCAGGTAAGAGGGCAGGCCTTAAAATAGAAATTTAAGAGTAGATGAGATTTGAAAACATGGGACGGGATGAGATTTCCTAGCAAACCCTCCTGTCTCCATGGAATTGCAAGTGAGTATATATGTGAGATTTTTATTTTTATTTTTTCAATGAATTATATTTATTTTTTCTTTTTAAAAATATGTTTTATTAATTATGCTATTACAGTTGTCCCATTCTCCCCCCTTTATTTCCCTCTGCCCTGCTTACCCCCTCCCACCCGTATCCCCCCTCCTGCCTTAGCTCATGTGCATGGGTTGTACATATAAGTTCTTTGGCTTCTGCATTTCTTATACTACTCTTAACCTCCCCCTATTTTCTACCTACCATCTATGCTACTTATTTCCTGTAACTTTCCCCCCTTTCTCTCCCTCCCCTGCTGATAACCTTTATGTGATCTCCATTTCTGGGATTCTGTTCCTGTTCTAGTTGTGTGCTTAGTTTGTTGGATTTTTTTTAGGTTCAGTTATTGATAGTTGTTAGTTTGTTGTCATTTTACTGTTCAGAGTTTGTATATTCTTTTTCTTAGATTAAGTCCCTTTCACATTTCATATAATAAGGGCTTGGTGGTGATGAACTTCTTTAACTTGACCTTATCTGGGAAGCACTTTATCTGCCCTTCTATTCTAAGTGATGGCTTGGCTGGATAGAGTAATCTTGGATGTAGGTCCTTGCCTTTCATGACTTGGAACACTTCTTTCCAGTTCCTTCTTGCCTGTAAGGTTTCTTTTGAGAAATCAGCTGATTGTCTAATGGGAACCCCTTTGTAGATGATTGTCTCCTCTTGCTGCTTTTAAGATTCTCTCCTAGGCCCTGGCTGGTGTAGCTCAGTGGATTGAGCACGGACCTGGGAACCAAGCAACCACGGTTTGATTCCCAGTCATGGCACATGCCTGGGTTGCAGCCCAGTTCCCAGCAGGGGACACACAAAAGGCAACCATACACTGATATTTCTCTCCTTCTCTTCCCCTCTAAAGGTAAATAAATAAAATCTTTTGAAAAAAAAGATTATTTCCTTATATTTAATCTTGGGTAATGTAAATATGAGGTGCCTTGGTGTGTTCCTCCTTGGGTCCAACTTGTTTGGGACTCTGAGCTTCCCAGACTTCCTGGAAGTCTATTGCCTTTGCCAGATTAGGGAAGTTCTCCTTCATTATTTTTTTAATTAAGTTTTTTATTTCCCCTGGCTGGTGTGACTGGGTGGATTGAGCCCAGGCATGCAGACCAAAGCATCGCTGGTTCTATTTCCAGTCAGGGCACATTCCTGGGTTGCAGGCCAGATCCCCTGTGGGGGGTACATGAGAGGCAACCACACATTTATGTTCCTCTCTCTTTCTTTCTCCCTCCCTCTCTCTCTCTAAAAACCCTTCCTCTCTCTAAAAATAAATAAATAAATAAAATCTTTTCTTTTTTTAGTTTTCTATTACTTCCTCCTCTTCTGGCACCCCTATGATTTGGGTGTTGGATGGTTTAAAGTTGTCCTGGAGGTTCCTAAGCCTCTCCTCATTTTTTTGAATTCTTGTTTCTTCATTCTGTTCTGATTGACTGTTTATTTCTTCCTTCTAGTGCAAACTATTGATTTGAGTCCCAGTTTCCTTCCAGTCATTGTTGATTCCCTGTACATTTTCCTTTATTTCACTTTTCATAGCCTTCACCTTTTCCTCTATTTTGTGACCATACTCAACCAATTCTTTGAGCATCCTGAGTACCAGTGTTTTCAACTCTGCATCTGATAAGTTGGCTATCTCTTCATCAGTTAGTTGTATTTTTTTCTGGAGCTTTGAACTTTCATTTGGGCTTTTCTTTTCTTTTTTGACTCTGATAGCCTGTTACTTAGTAAAGGGCAGAGCCTTAGATATTCACCAGGGCTGGGCAACCCCTGTCTCTGTGTTGTGGCACTGTAGGTGGGGGACAGTCTGAGAGGGAACAGTGCCGCTTGTTCAGTTCTTTTATGGCTTTCAGTCAACTTCCCCTGCTACCCACAAGCAAAGTGGGCCTTTCTGGTACTGATTCCCGGGAGGGTGGGTTTGTGTTCATTCTAGGACCCTGTGAATCTCTCCAACAAACTCTCCTGTGAGGATGGAAGTTTCTCCCTCTGCTGCCTCAACCCACACAGGTTTTTTCAGTCAGGTTTTCAGGCTTTATTTCCCTGCGCTGGAACCCTGGATTGCATAGTCTGCCTTGCTCCTGAGTTGTTCCTTTCAGTTAATCTGCATGCAAATGTGGGACCGCCCAGTCCATCAACTGCCACCTCCCTGGTCTGCCAGCCACCACCTTGCCTCAAGTCCTTTCCACCCAGCTACCCATCTTTGCTCCTACTGCTCTGGATGAATGTTTCTTCTTTAATTCCTTGGTTGTCAGACTTTCATACAGTTCCATTTTCTGTCAGTTCTGGTTTTCTTGTTTTTAAATTTGTTGTCCTTTTGGTTGTGTGAGGAGTCACAGTGTGTCTATCTACACTTCCATCTTGGCAAGAAGTCCCTGTTTCTGAGTTCTCCATTTTGTTCCGTTGGTTTCTTTGTCGATAATTTTATCAGTATCACACTGTCTTAGTTGTGGTAGCTTTATATTTTTTGGTATCTGAATTCTGCAGCTTTTTCTTTCTTCGATATTACTGTCTTAGCTATTTTAGATTTCTTGCATTTCCTTATATATTTTATAATTAGCCTACCCATTTTTCTTGCTCTTGTGCACACACTTACTCAACTGCCAGAATAATTTAGGGTTAATATTGAGGCCGTAGTTTGTGAAAATTGGGTATCTTAGTAATATTGAGTCATCCAGTCCATGAACATGGTACAACCCTTCATTTATTTTAGCAATGTTTTATGATTTTCAGTGGAAAGATATTTTTCACTTCTTATTACATTTATTCTTGGGCATTTAATTTTTGGGTTCTGTTGTAAATCTGTTTTTAGTTATTTAATTTTATAATTGTTAGCAAGAGTATTGGTAAAGACTATCAAAATTTAGAGGTTCAACAGAGGAGTGTCACCAGTGACGGGTCTGAAAAGAAGGAGCCAGTGGTTGAAGGAAAGAGGGTTTCATACAGGAGGAAGTAATTAAGTGATCAAATGAGTAGAATGCTGCCACCATATAGAGTGAGATGAGGACAGAAATGTGACCAGAAATGAGGACAGTTGGATTTAGGTGACTTTTTTCCAGATGTTTTGCTCTGAACCATTGCTGGGAAATTTAGTAGTAGCTATTAGGGATAGGTAGGCTCAATAAAGGATTTTTTCCTAAGGTAAGAAATATTAGATTATGTTTATTTGCTGATCAAGATGATTCATGAGAGTAGGAAGAATTGATCATGTAGAGGGTGATCCAAGAGTTTTAGTCCTTAAGGGAAATGAGGTAGGGGAATTATCCAAGAGCTAAATACTTAAAAATGGGACCAGTGCCCTAAATCTGGATCTGGCCTTTTTTTTTTTTTTTTTAAAGATTTTATTTATTTATCTGTAGAGGGGAAGGGAAGGAGAGAGGGAGAGAAACATCAATGTATGGTTGCCTCTCGTGCGTCCGCTGCTGGGAACTGGCCTGCAGTGAACCTGCCTGCAACCAAGGCATGTGCCTGACTGGGAATTGAACCGCGATTGTCTGGTTCGCAGGCCCGCACTCAGTCCACTGAGCTACACCAGCCAGGTGGATGTGGCCTTTAATAGCAGATGTTTTGTGAGGGGAAAATGGAGACAGGATGGTACACTTGGAATTAATCACAATTAGTTTAATTAGAGTTAATTAGAAGATTTGAAGTTTAGTCATTTTATGCATGAAAATAAAGTATTAATATTCATTGAATGCTTAATGCTCGGTCTGGTTTTTTTTAATTATCTCATTTAACCCTCCTAAAAACTTATGAATTTAGAATTATTAACCCCATTTTATGAATGACAAAACAAAGTTAAGAGAGATTAAGTTGCTAAAGATTACATACTGAGTTATTGGTAGACCCAGAATTGTTAAATTTCCAAAATCTTCATTCTTGAATATTCCAGTAACAAAGGACTAAAAGAGAGGTAATATCTCAGTCTTATTTTTCTTGTGAAAATAGATTCTTGATCAATTAGTTGTCATTAAGAGGTTTATTTACTTAGAACACTAAAACTGTGTTATACATTCCCAAAAAGAATTAATAAATCTAAGGATTTATTAATCCTATTTTCTATATTTGCAGATAGATCAGTATTTGTTTCCAATGCTAGTGAGTAACTTTAGTAAAGTAATATGAAAAATTAATTTGTTGGTCATTTGTTGTTAATAGTAAACTGTTTTGTAAGAAGATTGAGAGATTATTTGATCCTGAATACTTGAATCCAGATTCTCGGAATAATGCAGCAACATTGTACAGGTATGATAATAAGTTTTTCCCTGGTAGACTATATGATGCAGCTAAATTTTTTCATTTTACTACATTAAAATTTTTTTTTGTATTTTTAAATCTCTTTTTGTTGTAGGTGCTGTTTGTGTAAGAAACTTTTAACTAAAGAAACAGAAAGAAGAATTCCTTGCATTCCTGGAAAAATCAATGTGGATCAACATGGAAATATTGTGTACATTCACATAAGGTATAGTGAAAAAATACAGCTTTTCAAGTATAAATTACTAGTGTATTTATAGAAGCATGACTACTATAAGCAATAGGATATATTTTCTGCATGTGATCCAGTTTTGATTTAGAAAGATGCTACTTTCAAAACAAAGTTGTTTTAAAGGCTTTGTTTTATTAATAGGGTAAATATCAGTAAACTTTTAAGTTTTCGAAGAGTAAAAATGGTCATACATTTATCTCGAAAGACATTCTGATCGATACCATTAAAATTATTTTGTTACACTAAGATTTTATATAAATGTTCTGTTGAATTTGACAAGAGAACCAGGTTTACTTTCAAGTGAATTTCGGTAGGGAAAATGATCTTTAAAACGGAATTTTCTGGGGAAAGCTAAGATGACAGTCTGGGTAAACATGGCTCACCCTCACACAACCACAAAAATTACAGCTAAACTATAAAACAACCATTATTCAGAACTGCCAGAAATTGAGCTGAATGGAAGTCCTACAACTACAGAATTAAGAAAGAAACCACACTGAGACTGGTAGGAGGGGTGGAGACACAGAATGGGCTGGTCCACATGAATGTATGGTGGATACAAATTAGGAGGGATATTTTGGGAACAAGGGGTCCCAGCTCCATACCAGGCCCCCAGCCCAGGATTCTAGTGCCAGAAATATAAATCCCCATAACTTCTGGCTGTAAAAACCAGTGGGTATTGAGGCTGTGGAAGACAGAAACTTCTGGATTCCCAGGCAATTCTTCTTAAATGGCCCATGCACAGCCTTATTCAGATTGACTCTCTCTGGGCTCCAGCACTGAGGCAGCAGCTTGAAAGGTATCAGAGGCATACAGGGAGGAACTAAAGTGTCTGGAATCAGGGCAAGAGCTGGGGGACAGCTTTCTCCCAGACAGAAGTGCTGGCAGAGGCCATTGTTCCTTTTCAGAGCCCTCCCCCACACAGAGCTGGCAGGCAGGCACCATCTGTGATACTCCATTAACCAGGCTCACACTGTTTGCCCCACCCTGGTGATTCCCTGATTTTTGCCCAGCCCAAATTTCAGAACCACTTAAGCTGTTTCCAGTGGCTTTTTCATACAAGTGGCTTGTCTTGGCTCATGCTTCAGATTTTTGTAAATCTCTCAAACAAGCAGCATCTGGACTCAGCAAGCCCCACACCTCTTGCTAAGTGACTCCAGGCCTAGCACTAGCAGCAGCTGTCCTTGGTTCACAGTTTGGCCTTGCCTAGGGCACCTCCAAGCACAGCACAAGTAGCAGCCATCTGCAGCTCACTTTGTAGCTTATGCCAGGTGTTTCCAGACAGAACATCAGCAATGGCTGACCTTAGCTTGCACCTCTGGGGTAACCCCAGACCCTGCTCACTCAGTGAACAGCTACACACTACATCGGAGCACTACTACTCAACCACCTCCACAAGTGAAACACTCTTGGGGAGAACTCAGCAGGCCCCAGAGCCCTACTGAGCTAAGTCCTGCTATGTGGACTGGCCCCTGCACAGCTGATCCTCCACAGTAATCAGAGGTCAGTGGTCAGTGGTCATAGGCAACCCTTGCAGCTGATTGGTCTGAGTAGAACTCTCCCATTGACCTACCAACAGCAATCAAGGCTTAACTACAAGAGGAAGATGTATATAGCCCGCATGGTGAGTGACCTCGATTACCCAGCTTGGGTAATAGGGGAGGCTGTGCCATTGGACCCTATGTGATACCTACCACATTAGGCCACTGTACCAAACCAGGGAGTCATAGCTCTACCTAATACATAGAAACATACATAGGGAAGCTGTCAAATGAAGAGACAAAAAAAAACAGGATCCAAATGAAAGAATAGAACAAAACTCCAGAAAAAGAACTAAACAAAATGGAGACAAGCAATCTACTAGATACAGAGTTCAAAGCACTGGTTATAAGGATGATCAGTGAACTTAGGGGAAGAGCAGATGTACTCAAACAGAACTTCAACAGCACTGAAAAGGACATGGAAAGCATTAAGAAAAAACAGAATTAAAGGATGCACTGAAATGAGGAACAATTTCCAGGGGAACAACAGTAGAGTGGATGAAGCTGAGAATCACATCAGCATTTGACACTAACTTTAGTTGAGTTCTGATAACCCACTACCATTGGACAAGCCTCCGCTTTTAAATCAGCATTTGAATAAACAACACCCAATCAGAACAGCAAGAAGAAAAAACAATCCACCAGAAACTGAGGGTAGTGTAATGAGCCTCTGGGACAACTTCCAGCAGACCAACATTCGCATCATGGGGGTGCTGGAAAGAGGAGAGAGAGAGAGCAAGAAATCGAAAGCCCATTTGAAAACATAATACCAAAAAACTTCCCTAATTTGGTGAAGGAAATAGACAAGCAAGTCCAGGAAGCACAGAGCATCCCAAACAATATGAACCCAAAGAGGCCCACACCAAGACACATCATAATTAAAATGCAAAAGGTTAAAGACAATGAGAGAATCTTAAAAGCAGCAAGAGAAAAAGTTAGTTACCTACTTTAAGTCAGTTAGTCTTTAAGTTAGTTAGTCTTAAGGGCATTTCCATAAGACTGTCAGCTGATCTCTCGAAAGAAACTTGTCAGGCTAGAAATGATTGGCAAGAAATACTCAAAGTGATGAAAAGCAAGGACCTACAACCAAGATTACTCTACCCAACAAAGCTGTCATTTAGAATTGATGGTCAGATAAAGAGCTTTCCAGACAAGAAAAAAAACTAAAGAAATTCATCATCACCAAAGCATTATTATATGAAATATTAAAGGGACTTATTTAAGAAAAAGGAGATTGAAACTATGAACTTTAAAAAGACAACAAATTTAGCCCTGGCTGGCGTGGCTTAGTGGATTGAGTGCTGTCCTGCAAACCAGCTCAATTCCCAGTCAGGGCACATGCCTGGGTTGGGGGCCAGGTCCCCAGTTGGGAGTGTGTGAGAGGCAACTGATCAATGTATTTCTTGCACATCAATGTTTCTCTTCCTCTCTGTCTCCCTCCCTCCCCCTTTTGCTAAAAATAAATAAAATTTTGAAAAAATAAAAATAAGAAGGCAACAAATTCACAACTATCAACAACTGAATCTTTAAAAAAAAACTAAGCAAACAACCAGAACAGGAACAAAATCATAGGTATAGAGATCATTTGGAGGGTTATCAGCTGGGAGGAGGAAGGGGGAGAATGGAGAAAAAGTTAAAGGGATTAAAAAGCATAATTGGTAGGTACAAAATAGACAGGAGGTGTTAAGAATAGTATAGGAAATGGAGAAGCCAAAGAACTTACATGCATGGCACATGGACATGAACTAAGAGGTGGTTTCTTAGAGTGATAGGGGGCGCCAGGCAGAGGGGGGCAAAGAGGGAAAATTTGGACAACTATAATAGCATAATCAATAACATATACTTTAAAATAATTTAATCTAAAAACCAAAATTAGCAAACAAGCAGAATTATAGATCCAGAGAATAGTTTGATAGTTGCTAGGTGAGAGGTGGGTCAGTGGGGATTGGTGAAAAATTGGGGATTGGTGAAGGAATTAAGAAGTAAAAATTGGAAAAAAAAAAAAAGAATTCTAAAACCAAAAAAAAAAAAAAAAAAAAAAAAAAGAAGTAAAAATTGGTAGTTTCAGAATAGTCATGGGGATGTAAAGTACAGCATAGAGAACAGAGTAGCCAAAGAACACATATGCATGACCCACGGACATGGACAGTGGTGTGTGGTTTGCTTGAATGAGTGTGGTGGGGGAGGAGGCAAAGGGAGAAATATTGGGACAACTGTAATAGCATAATCAATAACATAATTTAAAAATAATAATAAAATTGAATTTTCCCTAGTCTAGTTATTCTTCTTACTTTGTCAGTATTCCATTAATACATAGCTCTTTTTCATTCCCCTTTAAGTTCAAAACCAGTTCTCATTTTGAGTTGGAGGAAAAGTGTTGTAAATGGTATGTCTTAAGAAAACAAAAACTTTAGAATACATGAAGTCTGTCCAGAAAAAGTCTAGCCATTGTTAATATAACAAGAATGGTTTGTGCCACATCGATGTAACCTAGCAGCCAAGGAGAGTGGACTGGAATATGCGTGTGTGAGCAAAGATGACTTCATTATGCTAGTCAGTGAGGGTAGCAGACACCACTGAGTGAGCATGTGTACTGTGTGGCTGTCACATCCAAAATGACTGAGTAGAGCAACAAATATGCATCAGATTTTGCATTAAGCTTGAACATTCCTCTGCGGAAACTTCAGACAATTCAGAAGGCTGTGGGTAACTAACGATTGGCAGCTTCATCATGACAACACACCTGCTTATATGTATCATCTCTCATGCAGTTTTATGGCAAACCATCAAATCACCTAGGTGACTTGGCCCCCCTCCAGCCCATATTTGGCATCCTGTGACTTCTGGCTTTTCCCAAAACTAAAATCTCCTTTGAAAGGGAAGAGATTTCAGACCATCATTGAGATTCAGGAAAATGTGACAGGAATATGTGACAGGGCAGCTGATGGCAATTGGGAGAACTGTGTGGGGTCCCAACGTGCCTACTTCAAAGGGGGCTGAGACATCATTTTCCTGTGTACAGTGTTTCTTGTATCTTATATCTTCTTCAATAAATATCTGTGTTTTTAATATTCCATGGCTGGATATTTTGTAGACACACCTCACTCTTACATATTCTCTGATAATATTCTACTGCTAGGAATTTACCCACAGAGATAGTATTGGGTTTGTGAAAACAATAAGGACAGTTTTTGCTATATTGTTTATACTTGTAATAAAGGAAACACCCTCCCTGGCTGGTATAGCTCGGTGGATTGAACACAGGCTACAAACCAAAGGGTCGCCTGTTCTATTCCCAGCCAGGGCACATGCCTGGGTTTCAGGCCAGGTCCCCAGTGGGGACCACGTGAAAGGCAACCACACACTGATGTTTCTCTCTCTCTCTTTCTCCCTCTCTTCCCCTCTCTAAAAATAAATAAATAAAACCTTTAAAAAAATAAAGGTAACACCCAAATGATTAAACAAACTAAAATATATCCATACAATACTGTAATCAATTCTTAATGTGCAGCCTTTGAAAATAATGTTGTAAAGGAATAGACTGGTCTTCTGCCAAGATGGAGGCATAGGTGGAAACACTTTGCGTCCTCGCAAACCAAATCTAAAAAGAACAAAGTTTTAACAGTAATAAATGCAACCAAACCACACAGAAAATCGAACAATACGGAGTCTGAAAACAGTAAACCACTCAGCTAAACCAGTGAGAGGGGCGAAGCCAGCAGTGGAGCGGGTTGGGCAAAAAAGATCCCCTGAACCGGTAGGTGTGCAGGCAGCCAAGGGTGTGGATCCCAGGTGTGGGCTAGCTATGGGCAGACCCAGGGAAGAGGCGTGGCTGGCTGTGTGCAGTTGGTCGGGCATTTGCGCTCAGATAAACCAGTGAAGAGGCGAGCATTGAGACAGATCACGCAGGCCCAGCAGCACAGGGCAGCGGGCTCCCACATGGGCGCTCAGATAAACAGGCGGGGGCGAGCGGTGAGGCGGACCGGGCAGCAGAGGGGACCGCCATTGCTCCCTCTCTGACCCCGCCTCCACATACAGCATCACAAACCAGCGACCTGGGTGGCCCCGCCCTGGTGAACACTTAAGGCGCCTCTCCTCATACATAACAGGCGCAAACAGACCAAAACATGGCTCAAGAACAACTCAGAGCCCCAGAGCCAATAAATCTAAGCGATGAAGAAATAGCCAAACTTTCAGATGCACAGTTCAAAACACTGGTCATCAGGATGCTCACAGAACTGGTTGATTTTAGTCACAAGTTAGAGGAACATATGAAGGCTAAACTAGTTGAAATGAATGGTAATGCACAGGAAACCAATAGTGATGGAAAGGAAACTGGGACTCAAATCAAGGGAGCAGACCGAAAGGAAGAAAAAAATGACCAAACAGAAAAATATGAAGAAACAAGAATTCAAAAAAATGAGGAGAGGCTTAGGAACCTCCAGGACATCTTTAAATGCTCCAATATCCAAATTATAGGAGTACCAAAAGGGGAAGAGGAACAGTCACCAGTGGAAACCTTATTTGAACAAATAATAAAAGAGAACTTCCCCAGTCTGGCAAAGGAAATAGATTTCCAGGAAATCCAGGAAGCTCAGAGAGTACCAAAGAAGTTGGACCCAAGAAGGAACACACCAAGGCACATCAGAATTACATTAGCCAAAATTAAAATGAAGGAGAGAATCCTAGAAGCAGCAAGAGATAAGGGGACAGTCACCTACAAAGGAGCTCCCATCAGACTGTCAGTGGATTTCTCAAGAGACCTTACAGGCAAGAAGGGGCTGGAAAGAGGTATTCCAAGTCATGAAAACCAAAGACCTACAACCAAGATTGCTCTATCCAGCAAAGTTTTCATTTAGAATGGAAGGACAGATAAAGTGCTTCTCAGATAAGATCAAATTCAAGGAGTTCATCATCACCAAGCCCTTATTATATGAAATGTTAAAGGGACTTACCTAAGAGAAAGAAGATAAAAAAGATGAACAGTGAAAGAACAGCAAACTCAGTTATTGACAACTACACCTAAAACATAAGCAAATTAAGAGGACAGCTAGATCAGGATTGAACAATAGAAATGAAGATCACGTGGAGGGTTAGCAACAGGGGAGTGGGAGAAGGAGAAGGGGGGAGAAGGTACAGAAAATAAGTGGCATAGACAGTAGATAGAAAATAGGGTAAGAATAGTAGGGGAAATATAGAGTCTAAAGAACTTGAGACACATGTTCATGAACTAAAGGGGGGAATGATGGAGGAGGAGTGTGCAGGGTGGAAGGGAATGAAGGGGGGGAATAGAACAAATGTAATGGCATAATCAATAAAATTAAAAAATATATTTAAAAAAAGGAATATATACCTACATATAAAGTTTTTAGTGGGAAGAAGTGAAAAGAACAAACACATTGTGAAACAAAACTAGAAGCATGTTCACTAAAATGTTTACTATGGTGTTATCTTTGAGTGATAGTATTATGAATGATTTTAATTTTTTTGTGCTTGTTCTTTTTTCTCTATTAAAAAATACAAATGTTAGATTTTATATTTTAAACATTAAAACAGAAGTACAGAGAAACATATTTAACCTAATGTGAATATAGTACAGTCGACTTAAATATGTTACATTTTTCTCTACAACAATCAGGCAATCTTTACTAGTTATTGTAAGCACCTTTGATTTTATACTTTTTTGTCTTGAGACTTGGTTCACCTTTTATGAATGTCCACTCAAAAAAATGTCCACTCTGATAGCAATAACAATGAATATATTCTATATATATTATGACAGTGGTAACTATGTGAAAAAATTGATAGTAATTTCAACATCCATTTTTGTTTACTCAAAGTATTTTCCAATAGGCCAGCTATTGATAACACTTTTTAAATTGTCTTTAACTTAAAACGTGTGCTTGTGTAGTTTGTAATAACATGAGGGTATTTTGTTATTTGTTGAACTAAGGACAAAGAGCAAAAGTTTGAAAAAGATTAAGGGACTTGGAAAAAATGGGAACTTGAGTTTCATAATTCTATAGGAAATAGGATTTTAAGCCTTTGCCATTTTTAAAGTTTATCTTACTTAACTTAAAAATGTATATTTCTGAGACTGATTTGTATATTAGTATTATTACTCAATTACTGAAATTGCCTTTTGAGAATAATATAAATAACACATTAATGAAATGTTTAGAATCACCAATTATTACTGTACATCTTGTTATACAATATGTACAATTAGACTAAAGCAACATCTGCTGAAGTCCCAAACATTAGTCTACTCAAACGGTATTTAATTTATAACCCTTTATGTACCTTAGCAAAATAATTTGGCATTCATCCTTCTGTACCTTTTCCTATTATCCATCGGGGAAAAAAAGAATAAATAGACTCCAAAATGAAATTTTATCTACCATTCAATGTAGTCCATCCCACAGGCATTATTTGGGGGAAATTCTTGGATATAAGCCGTATATTTAAAAACATTTGTTTTAATCAATTGTTAATATTGCTTGCTTGTAAAATAATACAACAGTTGAGACTTTTTCCCTAGAGATAAGACTTGGGATGTTCATGAGTATTTGAATAGTCTTTTTGAAGAGCTAAAATCTTGGAGAGATGTGTATTGGCGCTTGTGGGGAACAGTCAACTGGCTAACTTGTTCGAGATGTGGTCAGGTGAGTTTGTAAAAAATACCCTGCTTTGCAAACATTGAGAGCAGGCTCTTTTGATCTGTGCTGTTTAATTAATATGTTTGGATGTGTTTTGATATCTGACATCTTTTTAAGAAATTAGTGGCAAAAACACTGATGCTATTAAATAAACATTGCTTACATCTGACTTAATTTCTCTTACTACATTTCTTCTTCCCCTTTATCATCATTGTTGAAACAATGAATGACTTGCCAAATTTTTAGAAAACCAACAGGCTTTAAGTGACCAAATACTTTTTTTTAATGGTAAAATACTGACTCCTTATTGCCTTCAGTTATTTCCAGCCAAACTTTTTTTCTGCTAGCCCATACATTTCTTTAGAAATCTAGAAATGCCTTTGTAGATAGGGTGCCACTGATATGTGCCCTTCTTGTTGTAACAGTTGTGTTTCAAAAAAAGGTTTTGTTCATTTTTTAATAAATGAAGTCTGTAGTAAAAGCACAAGAAAGCTTGCTATTTAAGGTACCCAAACTAAATCCTTTTATAGAATAAATAGACCATTGTAGGTCACAGTCATTCCTAATTAGTCTTATGTATAAATCCAGAGTGTTCTACATAAAAAATTTTTGTGAATCCCTAATGTCTCTCTACCACCAGTAATTTTCATCTCTCAAGTAATGATTTTCAGTAGAGGGAACGAAGAGCTGCTTATTAAAACCTTCAGTGTGAGATTTCTATTGGACTTATACCCAATAGACTCCTTATGTCCACACAATTTTTAAAAATTGGATTTATTGAAGTAAAATGTATGTACAGTAAAACTCACCTTTATACAGTAAAATTAATTTCTTTTCTGACATTTGACAAATACAGTTATGTAACTACCACCACAGTCAAAGCATAGACCAATTCTATCACCCTAAAAATTTCTTGTGCCCCTTCGCAGTCAGTTTCTTCCTCCACCCCAGACTCTGGCAACTGCTGATGTTTAAATGTCTTTATAATTTTGACTTTTCCAGAAAGTCATACAAATAAAATTATACCATATTTAACTTTTTAAGTGCAGCTTTATTATTATTATTTTTTTTTACTTATCAAAATGAACTTGAAATGTTTATTCACTAGGTGTTTTGTAGGGCTTTGTAGGTGTTTCTAGTTTGGGGCCATGATGAAGAAAGCAACTATAAACATGTCCTATGGACTTTCATATGAATAGAGGTTTTTATTTCTTTTGGGTAATAACCTAGAAGTAGGTTAGATGCTGGATTGAATAGTAAATGTAAGCCTGTTTTCCCAAGTCTCTGAATTTACATTCCTCTCAGCTTTTAAATTTAATTTTATTTAGTATATTTAGAGGAGAAGGGAAGAATATAAAAAGGGAGAGAAACATCAATGTGTGATTGCCTCTCAAGCACCCCCTACTGGGGACCTAGCCCACAACCCAGAAATGTGCCCTGACTGGGGATCAAACCAGTAACCCTTTGGTTCACAGGCCCACGCTCAATCCACTCAGCTACAGCAGCAAGGGCTGAAATCTATTACTTTTATAATTAAATCTTTATAAGTTCCTTCAACAATGATTCAAAGTTACTCCATAGTTTTCATTAATACTAATACTAAATATTTACCTTAATAATATGTCAAAGAATAATTGAGGCAAAATTTTATTTCATTATTTTCATTGAAAACTTTGTGTTTGGCTAATTGTGAAATCAGTTGTACATCAAGATCAATTTAATTCATCTGAATTTTGAGTAACATGTTTTGGTTTTGCTTTTTAATAGCTTTATTACAGCATAATTATACGCCATAAACTTCATTTAAGTATGCAGTTTAGTAAATTTAGAGTTGTGCAACCTCACCACCATCCAATGACCTCATCACCCTATCACCCCAAGAAGATTCCTTGTGTCCATTTGCTACCACTCCCCAATCTTACCTCTAACCTCAGGCAACCACAAATCTACTAGTCTCTAGAGATTTGCCATTTCTGTACATTTTATGTAAAGAAAACATACAACGTGATCTTGAGTAAAGTATTTTTAAGATATACTTAAATATTGTATACATTAAGATATCAATATGGGAATAATTATTGATTTTATTTATTTCTTTTATTCAGGTTTTTCTCTGTATAGAATTTTCACATTGTCAGTATCATTCAGAAGGAGTGGTTTATCCTCCTGCAGCAAGTTCGCTGAGTACTGTGGGCACTGGAATTTATCCCTGCTGCAACCACAAGGTTCTTCGGTTTGATCCTACTCAGCTTACAAGGGTAATGCTCAGTGTTACCCTTTTGCAGTTACATTGCTCACTAATAATTTTTATTTTATTTAAATCATTTTCTCTTTTTGTTTTTAAAGTATACAGGTAATACATTCATGTAGGGTTGATGGTATTACAGTGTTACAATGAACATCCTTGCACATACACCTTGGTGCAGTGCATGAGTATTGCTAGAGCTTAGAGTCCTTGATCCCTAACACTTTTGAAAATGTTATGTAATTAAAACTCATGGGTGATGAAAGGGACCTAAATCTCTTCCTCCTCATCATTCATAAAACAGATATAGAGGGGGGCAAAAGTAAGTTTATAGTTGTTCGTATGGAAAAATAACATAATAATTCATAAATAATACTACAAGAATAAACCCTTTGTAATCCACATGCTTACAACTGTAAATCTCCTTTTGCCCCATCCTGTATTTATAAAGCACCAAAGTTGTATCACACACTGTACAAGGCAGAGGGTAGTATATAAAGTTAGATAGTTTCTGTCTTCATGGAGCTTAGAGTTCAGGCAATGATATCAAAAGGGAAAAAGTATACAAGGAAATGTTTGAAGAAGTTTACAGGTTCATAAATGTCTATAATAGGCTTATCTTACCTTCTTAGGGATTTGGCATTTCATTGAGATCTGAAGGGTAGGTAGGAATATTTGAGGGGAAAGAGCCCTCCAGTCAAAACAGCAAATCCAAAAGGGTTACAGTAAGAGACTGAAAGAAGCTCTGCCTGTTATGTAAAAAAATAAAACAAAACAAAAAAACATGCATATTTGAAAACAAAGCTGGAGAGGCAAGTAGATGTCAGCCCATGTAGGGGCAGGACCTCCTCGGGCATGTTTGAGTTTTTTCCTTCATTTCCAGTTTTTGAAAATAGCAGTTGCAGTGTAGAGAATGACTTGAGGAATAATCAGTAGAATTAGGACCAGGAGGAAGTTATCATAGTAGTCTCAGAGAAAGATGATGGTCACTTGGACTAGAGCAGAGGAGATGAAGAGAATGGATGAATTCAGTATTTAGGAAATAAAAACTGATTGATGGATTATGTCATATAGGGAGAATATGACTCAGTTTAATGCTTGTGCTACTTGATTTATGGTGGTATTATTCACTGAAGAGGAAACAACAGAAGGGAATTAGGTTTGGAGAGAGGCTCACAAGTTCTGTTTTGGACATTTTGGGTTTGAGATGCTCTATAAGATAACCAGACAAAAAGTGTTAAATATATGGGTTTGGGTTCTCAGAGAAATGATTAGGGTGGATATAATAATTTTTAAGTCTTCTTGCAAATAAGTGATTATTGAAGCCACCAAGTATAGGTGAGCATAAGGGCAGAGGGCCTACAGTAGCACCTGGAGAAACTCCAATATTTAATGGCTACATAGAGAAGCATCAGGCTACAAAGGAGAATAATTAGGAACAGCCAGAATAATAGGAAAGAAACAAAGAACATTGTCATAAAAGTCAAGGGAGCAGTGTTCAAGAGAGAGTGGTCCACAATAGAAATACTGCGAAGAGGTCAAGTAAAATAATGAAATAAATGTATTTTGACTTTGGTGACCTGGAATCCATAGGTATGAAGATGTTTTGGTCATGTGCTAGACCCAGAAGTCAGATTAGTGTGGGCTGAAATGTGAGTGGAAGAACAACAGATGGAGGCAGTGTGAACAGTTCTTTTGGGAAATTTGAGAAAGGAAGGGAATGGATCAGTAATCTGTATTTGTTTATGTTTATGTTTTATTTTGATAGGAGAGAACTTTTTAAAAGTCAGCGGAAAGGATCCAGTAAGGAAAGGCTGATAGTATAAGGTCTATGAGGAGGCAGAGTAGGGTGGGATCTGAAGCACAAATGGCAGTAATTGTGTAGACAGGAGGGAGGGAAGCTCCTATAATGTTACAGGAGAGAAGAGTAGGGTGGTTGTAGAATTAGTAAAATTGTATTTTTCTCATTGATGATACATTAATCCAACTGAATGCCTTTCCTGTTCTCCATCAAGTAGAAGGTAAAGCCATCTGCTAAGAATCAGGGAAAGAGGGAAAGTTTCAAGGTTTGGAGGAAGTATTGAAGGTTTGAAAGTCTTTCAGAAAACAGAAAAGTGAATTTTCCAGATAAATATTATAGGTTACTAGGGTCATTGGAAATTGCTGATCATAAATTTATAGTGAAATCCAACATAACTTTTTATATTGCAATCTCCAGAAATTTTCTCCAGGCAGGGCAAAAATGGGTTCTTGAGCTCATTCAGAGTTGGGGTTTTGTCAGATGGGTATGATGAAATTTAGGAGCAAGGAGTTTGGAATGTTAGCACAAATGTTACTGAAATGATGGATCGTAGGATTTAATTTAGATTAGGAAGTTTGTTATTTTTGCAATCAATTACCTGACACGTGCACTGGCTCACAGCGCCGGCGGCATCATGGATGAGACATAAGACAAATTCACACGGACTACCGAGTCCTGTGGAGGAAAAGGGAAGGCACAGCTACTGCCTCAAAGGGGGAGAGCCTCAGAGCAGCCTGGCAACTCTCTCAAGGGGAGAGCGCGCTGACCCTTGCCTAGACAGGATTTTATTGGGCTTAATTTGCACAGGACTATAGGTACAGCTCATTAATCACTGTCAGGCAGTAAGGATAAAACAGTAGATAGCATACAAAGAACTATTAGGGCTTCTTCTGAGTCAGGGGCTATTAGTTAAAGGGCTACAAGACTTCGGGAAAACACACTCATTTTCTGCCCAGGCCTTTATCATTTAACTAAAAGCATTCTTAACAAAGCAGGCTTCACAGGATTGTTAGGAATTCTTTCTTATGCTAAATCACCCCTGATCCCACTCTAGCTTCCAAGGGGCTACACCACCTCCCCCATCACAGGCTTTCAGGCTTAAGTGGATTAGAGCCAGGAAGGGCTTCTCCCAGAGTACTTGGGGACTGGGCTATGTCAGAATAGCCAGGGGGCAAGGGCCCATCACTCCCTTTTTGTTGCAGTTCCCTGACTCCTTCCATAATGGCCTCCCAAGTGATTGTGTCTGGCTTAGGTTGTCCCTCCTCTGAGGAGTCTTACCCATCATCAACTATCTGACCATGCATTGGGGCAGGGGAGTAAGTAGAGGCAGCGTTTGCTACCAGAGACAAGCTTTGTCTCTGTGGCTCCACATTCTGGAGGTTGCTCACTCATCCTTAGACATGGGGGGGTTACAGCTCCTGAAACCAGGCCGTGCGTTTCCCAACAATTACCAATTTTGATTATTAGAGATTTTATTAGTTAGGTAATAGATTGCTGTCATACTGTTCATAACTAAGATTTAGTTAACACTTTGCATGCAACACTGTTTAAATGAGGCATGAGAGACTTTAAGCAGAAGAGCATTAGCTTTGACAGGCCCGAGACATTTTATTAATTCATGATTGCTTTTATATATTTGCAGTAACATGATTTTTAGTCCTTGCAGTTCTTTATAGTTATGATGTTTCTATTTTAACTGTCACTTCATTTTAAACAGTACTTCTTGAAGTTGTAACTCTTTGGCTTTTTTGTCTGCATAATAGTTATATTGACTACTAATCCATTTACAGTGAGAGGATTAGGAGTAAATAGTGATTAAACTGTATGATAAATTTTGTATGTGAAATCATGGATATTTATTGAGGTAATTTATTGGGCTAAGTGAAATCTAGATAACTCATGCAGTGATTTATATTTCCAGTAATGGCTATGTAATACAGACCATTCCTCCTATCAAAAAGCAACTTAAAAAGGTGGATGAAATATAAAGATCATATTAAAAGCATGAACAAGCTAACAGGGAATTAGTGATAAGATACAGGGGATGAAGGGAACTGAGAGGAGTGGGCTGGCACTCAAGTTCATTTTGGACGGGACTGCAATCTGAAAGGGTGGCCGAGAAGCTGGGCTGTTTTTGGTGCCCTGTCAGGATTTTGGGGAAATTCAGGGTCCAAGGTCTGTCAATACTGGGGATAATAATGAATAACATTCACTCCCTCACACTTTGAGTAAGTCAGAAGCAAGCCATTTCTTGCCTGAATAGTAGCCTGGCTTTGATTTATTTCAGTGGCATGGAATATTTCAAGCCCTCAAATTGGATTAAGGTAATCCTGGATTGCCACTCTCCCCAGGGACCTGGGAGAGCAGTAAAAATCCTCTTTGGACAAAGATAATATTATTCTAAACCTCAAATTATTTCTATAAACATTTTTCTAACAAAATATTCAGCATGCAAAGATAACTTGGCATAGATGAAATAAGTGTTTTTTAAGACATATATGTGAAAGAAAAACGAATAAAGCTATTAAAAGGTAATAACATAAGGAAGAAATTTTAAATTAAAGTATGTAAACTACATTGAATAAGCTGAAACTGAGGAAACAAACATACAGGTAGGACCAGATGTTAGCAACACATCTCCATAAAAGGTTCATACTAAGATTTTTTTAAAACTCTTATAAATCAATAAGAAAAAAACAATAGGAAGTTCACACAACAAAGTTCTTTGTTGTTGTCCAGTAAACGTTCAAAGAAACTCAACCTCGTTTGTAATTGGGGAAAGGCAGATAAAACCACAATGAGATACCACTGCATGCTCATTAGAAAGATTAAAAATATCTCACCAAGTGTGAGAATTAGTGAGAATATAATGAGAACTCTTCATACACTGCTGATAGTAATATATTTTTGTACATATAAGCACTTGTGTGCCAGGAAACATGTAAAAGAATGTTCATAATAGTATTATTTTTTTTTACCTTCACCCAAGGGAGGACATGCATAGAGAGAGGAAGGGTGGGAGAAAGAGAGGGAGAGAAACATCAATGGGTTGCTTCTCACACGCACCCTGACTGGAACCAAACTGCAACCTAGGTATGTGCCCTGAACAGGAATCAAACGCATAACCTTTCAGTCTATGGAACAATGCTTCAACCAACTGAGCCACAACAGCCAGGGCCATAACAGTATTATTTGTAATAGCTCCAAACTGGAAACAACCCACCTATCAATTGTAGCATGAATAAATTTGTATGCATTCTTACAAAGGAATACTGTATATTAAAGCAAAGGTTAGTTATACAATAACTTGGCTGAATAAAAACATAATGCTGAACCAAACAAGTGAGATGAAACTAAACAATAGTACTTAGGGTTGTATCTTCTAGTGGTAAAAGGATAAAAGCAAGGAGAATTAAGTACTATAAAAGTCAGGATAGAGATTATCCTTTGGAAGAAGGGAGGTAGTTACAGGCCCTTGGGGAGACTCCTGGAGTGTTGGAGATACTCTTCTTTCTTTTTTTTTTTTAAAGATTTTATTTATTTACATTTGTTGTTTGTTGCGTTGTCTATTATAGCCATCCTGACTGGTGTAAAGTGGTATCTCATTGTGGTTTTAATTTGCAAATATTTACTTCTAGAGAGGGGAAGGGAGGGAAAAGAAAGAGAGAGAAACATCAATGTGTGGTTGCCTTTCACATGTCTCCCACTGGGGACCTGGCCTGCAACCCAGGCATATGCCCTGACTGGGAATCGAACCTGTGACCCTTGGTATGCAACCCGTGCTCAATCCACTGAGCTACACCAGCCCGGGCGAGATACTCTGTTTCTTAATGTGGATGGTGGTTACATGAATACTCTTGGATATTTTTACGGTATATGAGGTCTGTCCAGAAAAGCCCAGCCATTGTTAAAAGAACAAGAACAGTTTGTGCAACATCGATGTAACCTGACAACCAAGGAATGTGCATGTGTGAACAAGGATTTCACTGAACCAGTCAGTGGTGGCAGTAGATGCTGTTGAGTGAGCATGTGTACTGTGTGGCCGCCGCATTCAAAATGACTAAGCGAGTAAAGCATCAAATTTTGCATTAAGCTTGAACATTCCTGTGCAGAAACTATTCGGATGACTCAGAAAACCACAAGTATGGGCAACTGGTGATTGGCAGCTTTATCGCAACAATGCACCCACTCATACATCAGGTCTTGTGCAGTTTTTTGGTGAAACATCAAATCACCCAGCTGACTCAGCCCAGCTACAGCTCAGATTTGGCACCCTGCAACTTCTGGCCTTTCCCAAAACTAAAATCACCTTTGAAAGGGAAGAGATTTCTGATCTTCAGTGAGATTCAGAAAAATACAATGGGGCAACTGGTGGTGATTGGGAGAACTCTGTGAGGTCCCAAGTTACCTACTTTGAAGGGAACTGAGGCATCATTGTCCTATACACAGTGTTTCTTGTATCTTGTGTCTTCTTCAATAAGCATCTCTATTTTTCTTCAATAAGCATCTCTATTTTTCATGGCTGGATACATTCTGGACAGACCTTGTACATTTATGTCTCATGTTCTTTCCTGTGTGGGATTTTTTTCCTTGGGGAAAAAAAGAGCTGAAATGGTTGATATGACTAGGCAAAGAGGAACAAAAACATACAGTCATCTTTAAAGGAATGTTTCCGTAATGAACCAACCTCTCTAATTTAGTGTCTCTCGTACAACAGGGTTGTAAAGTGAGAGACCACACAGTTGCTCTTAGCGATCAAGGTGAAGATGGAGATTTGTTATCCTGTCCAACTGCTAGAATACTGGATGATCTGCACAAACACAGAGATGTCGTTGTTGTGCCTTTTTCTAAAGACACAGTTAGGTGAGGTCAGGAGGGAGGCATGGGGGAGGGTGAGAGGGATGTACTGCAACTTTACCATCCCCTCGTGTCTCTCCAAATCACTGTCAGTCCTCATATAGTTTACATTATTTCAGAAAGCTTAACTGAAATTATGTTAGCTTAAAATAAGAGCCAACAGGTGCTTATTTGATAGGAAGAGTACTTCCAGAGAAAGAAAAACTAATAAAAGTCCTTGTAATTGAGAGGTTGGGACCTGCAATCTAATTCTTGAAGTTTTTTTTTTTTTCTTTTTTCAAGTTATGTAAGCTCATCTTAAATGCTTGACTGACACAAGTAGAAAAATAGTTGATGATTGAGGTCATCTTTGCAAAAATTTGAGCTCCTTGAAGTCATTAATTTCTGAAGTTACTTCCATCATCTTGCAACTACAAGTTATCAGGTTGAGGTTAGGAGGACACCGTAATAAAGGCTGTTCTTTTTTTTCTGTTGCTGCAGTGAGCTCCTGTAATGGGTACCATTCCCAAAGCAGTACCCATTAGAGGAGCCCATTTCACCCCCAGGCCAGTGTGATGCCTGGAGTGCAATAGTGTTCCCCCCATATGGAGGGATCCCTGCTGAGGGATCCCTGCCAGGGGAATCACTAAGAATTAAGAAATGTAGATTTTGAAATACAAACCTTATACTCAAGAACTGTAGTTCCTTTTTTAATTGAATTTATAGGGTTGACATTGATTAATAAAATTAGATAATTTTCAGGTATACAGTTCTATAATACATCACCTGTGTATTGTATTGTGTGTTCACCTCCCCAAGTGAAGTATCCTTCCATCACCATTTTCCACCTTTGTTCCTCTTCTACCTCCCCTCACCCTCCTTTCCCTCTGCTAATCACCATACTGTTGTCTGTGTCTATGAAGAACCATATTTCCAAAGATCAAATTAAAAACATGTGCAATAAAAAAGATAACATTTGCATTTAAATTCTTAAGAAATTGAACACTTCCTCATAAAATGTCTTTTTCTCCCTAGTGATTCTGGAGTTGGTTCCTGGGATGAGAAGGGTCTGGACTGTGATGTTTTACTGGAGCCAAGTACACCATGGGGCCCCAAAAGTGGGGAGCTCAATGCTGTGAGTAGCTTGTTTCACTCATTCTTTATTTACACAAAAAATTGATGACATTTAATCTTTGATAGAAACTTGATCATTTTAAATTGAAGTTGAGCCCTGACCAGTGTGACTCAGTTGGTTGGACATCATCCTATAAATCAAAAGACTGAGCATTTGATTTCTGGTCAGATCAGGGCACATGCCTAGGATGTGAGTTCGGGCACCTATGAGAAGCAACTGATTGATGTTTCGCTCCCTTTCTCTCGCCCTCCCTCCCCTTCTCTCTAACAATTAATAAGGATGTCCTCAGGTGAGGGTAAGTAAATAAATAAATCAAAGTTGCAATTTTTAGTTAGTAAGTATTTTCTAACTATTGGACATAATAAGGTTTTATGCTGAGTTAATAGAACTATAAGGGTAATAGCACATATTTATTGTCCTCATAGAATTAGTAACTAATTGACTTTAATTTGGTGGAAAATATAACATGGCCTTCAGGGTTTTTATTATGGATAAATAATGATTTGAGGAATGAAGATAGTATGAATGGTATATTTTGTGGCCTCCTAGTACTATAACCTGTTTTTGACATGAATTTTTTTTCCATTGTAGTCAGAAATGCATGTAGTTTTTCTAACATTTCAAAACTAGAATATGACCAGGAAGCTTTGATTCATGTTGCTAACAACCAGGGAGTCTCTGTTTGCTGGTGGCTTCCTGCCTTTGTGTTTATTGGGCTGGCATTTACTTCATAAAGTGAAATACTTCATGTTTTAAACTCCAAGTGGCTATAAATGTTCAATCATTAACATTTATTTATGAATAACATACAAAATAGCAAATTAGATATCTTGAATATTTATATATAGTCTGGTTCCTTAATTTATAAAAATATAAACATTAAAAAGTGAAATAGTTAGCCCTGGCTGATATGGCTCAGTGGGCTGAGCTCAGGCCTGTGAACCACATGATCCCAGTTCAATTCCCCATCAGGGCACATGCCTGGGTTGCAGGCCAGTTCCTGGCAGGGGCCAGTTCCCAGCAGGGGATGTACCAGAAGTAACCATACATTGATATTTCTCTCCTCTCCTTCCCTTCTCCACTAAAGATAAATAAATAAAGTCTTTTAAAAAAGATTTAAAAATAAGATAAAATAATTTTTAAAAGTGAAATAGTTAAAAAATAACCAAAAGTATATTATATCTGCATGTTATTTACTTATCCTTTGGAAATGACACTAGGAAAAATTTGGGGGGAGGGTAAGCCATATATATCTTCTCTGCACAGGGGATATGAAAGATTATATTATTTTCAGCCTAAATTTAAATTTATGTTTCAGCCTGGAAGGAAACTATACTTGTAACTTTTCAAAATTCTTCTAGAATATCCATATGAAAATAAGAAGCTTTGGTCTATATAGATGCAGATTTATTATCTCTTATTCTTTTGTCTTTTTTATAGTTTTTATCACTGAAAAACTGGACTTTACAGCTGGTGAGTGAGCAACTATATTCCGCTTTCATGGATCTCTTTTGTCCTAAATTGAAGTGTAATGTTGATAAGTGTTATCAACATTATATTTTTAGATTTTATATATTTTAGTTAAATGTTTATTGTCCTTTTCAGTGTCTAAACTTTTGTACTTACTAAAAATGTCATTGTTTAGAGCAGACACATACTTCATTTTCTAGCTGCATAATCCATAAGTCTAATTAAATGAACTTTTAAAAGTTATTTTTGTCACTGAACAAAGCAACAAATCTGTAACAAGAACTTCCCAATTATTTGATTGTTTGATTGGTTGGTTATTTGATTTTTTTTACCTGTTTGCCTTTCCTGTGTCATCTGCCATCAGTATTCACAAAAATGGAGTCAGAATTTGTATCAGTGATGACAGACAGTAGGGTGGATAGATGCAGGAAACTGATGATGTTTAAGTAATCCAGTACCCCTCCGATCCGGGAAATGTGCGCATGTGCTAGCTTATAACACTACTTTAATATTGGCAATTATTGCACTTTAATTTATTCTAAATATTGATGAATATGCATTTAGTTGAATGACAGGGGTACAATTCAGCAAACACTGAGCACCTGTTAGGTGCCATCACTCTTCTAGGATCTGTGAAGGAAATAAATAAAAAATATTTGATGTAATATGATCCTGCCTGATTATAGAAATTCTTATGTCTGCTTCCTGAATGTGGTGCTAGGCAGTGATCATTTATCAGCTCTTATTTGGCTCATTCATCAAAAATAAATTTAGATATATGTGAAAAAAATTCATTACATATGTGATAATACCACATTTTTAATAGGATGTGTATTGTTTTTTAATTCAGAAACAACAGTCATTATTTTCAGAAGAAGAAGAATATACGACTGGATCGGAAGTCACTGAAGATGAAGTTGGAGATGAAGAAGAAGTGTCCAAGAAACAAAGTACATTGATTTCTTAGTTAAAAATCAAGCCTTATTTTTATGAAGAGGCTATATTCTGAAGGCTCTGATGTAAGGGATGAGGGATTGGCTTTACAAGTTCACATGGTAGGGTATAACATGGAAGGAAAAAAATAAAGAAGGCGCTATCAGGGTTTCCTAACCCTGGCACTAACACAGAACACAGAAATTATAAAGAAAGTGCAGTGTGCTGAGAAATATTCCTCCAAGTTTTTATTTCAAGTGTAATCTAATGGGTTTCTCAAAATGTATGACTCACATCAGTGTACCAAGGATGATTTGAAATGACATGCAAATGAAACATTGAATAACAATTGTCAAAATGTGACTTTAAAAAATCGAAAACAGGATTTTATACAGCTAGTGAACGAACTTGTATCAAAATTTTTCAACTCACTGGTGAGAGAAATAGCAGTAAAATGGATTCAAAGAGCATTTGAAGATTCAGATTTTCCTACAAGGCAATAAACCCATAACCTTTGGGGTTATCTTTTCTGCTAGATAGAAGTCACTTGCATTTCTATTAGACACAAAAATCTTCAAATTAACATGAAACTTCACAGAATCTGGGCCTTCAGTCAATAGTAGATAGGAAAGTCAAACACAACAGAGAAGTAATCCCTGCATAGGCCTCTTTAACAGTCCCCCAGAGGGACACTGAAAGAATGTGCAGTTCTCCCTTTGTCTTATTTCCAAGTTTTGTATAACTTTTCTTTAAATGTAGTCCTCCACCAACTATTTTTCAGTCCTAATTAGTCAAGGAGACAATGCTACTATGTCATATGTTGTTCTCACAGTTGATTGAGGTATAATTTACGTGTCATAAAATTCAACCTTTTTTGAGGGTACACATTAAGGAGTTTGGGCATACAGTTGTGTAACCACCACCAAAATCAAAACCTAGACCATATGCAAAACGTTACCTTCTGCCCCTGTAGATTCAGTTCCTTTTACCCACTCCCACCCCCGGGCAACCACTATGCTTTTTGTCACAATGATTTACCTTCTCTAACATCTCATGTAAATAGAATCATGAGTAGTCTTTTGTGTCTGTTTTCTTTCACTTATTATGATATTTTTGAGACTCATTCATATTTTGTGTATCAGTAGTTTTTTTTTAAGATTTTATTTATTTGTCTTTAGAGGGGAAGGGAAGGGGGAAGAGAAATATCAGTGTATGGTTGCCTCTCGTGCGTCTCCTGCTGGGAACTGGCCTGCAACCCAGGCATGTGCCCTGACCGGGAATCGAAACTTGATCCTTTGGTTCGAAGGCCCGCACTCAATCCATTGAGCTACACCAGCCATGGCAGGACTTTTTTTATTATTTCCTGAAGTACAGGTATATTTCCTTTTGTACAGGTATATTAGCAGTGAATTCTTTCTTTTTTATTATCTGAATATATCTTTATTTTACTTTAGATTTTTAAAAAGATGTTCTTTAGGGAGAAGAACAGGAAGGAGGAAGAGAACCATCAATGTCACTTTGTGTGATGAGACCCAACCACCTGAGTCACACCAGTCCAGTCACAGCTCACTTTCTTTAGATTTTAAGTACGGTTTTCTTGAAGTTTGGTTAACAATTTTTTTAGCATTTTGAATATGTTATTCCATCTCTTCTGGCCTCTCTGGCCTCTTGAATATGTTATTCCATGTCTTCTGTACTCCAGTGTTCTTTTAAGACTGATTAGAGATTTTGAGGGAAAGAGAGAGGGAGAGAAATATCAATGTATACTTCCCTCTCATGTCCCCTGGGAACTGGGCTGCAACCCAGGGATGTGCCCTGACATGCCTGACTGGGAATCGAACCAGGATCCTTTGGTTCACAGGCCCACACTCAATCAACTGAGCTACACCAGCCAGGGCTGGCCTCCAGTGTTTCTGATGAGAAGTCAGTTGTTGATATACTTGTTAACCTGTATATAATGCACCCTTTTAATCCTATTGCTTTCAAGATTTTCTTTTTATTTTTGACTTTCAGAAGTTTGATTGCGATATGCTTAGATGTGCTTTTTTTGTGTGTTTATCTTACTTGGGATTTGTTGACCTTCTTGGATTGGTAACAATGTTTCCACAAAATTTGGGTAGTTTATGGTCATTATTTAAATACTTGTTCTGCTCCTTTCTCTCACTTGTCTTCTGAAACTTCAATACATATACATGTTAGACCTTTTGATATAGTCCCACAGGTGTCTGACATTTTGCTTCTATCCTTCAGTTTTTTATTTATTTTCTGGATTAGATCATTTCTAGTGTTTAACTCACATTCATTGAGTCATTCTTTTGCCATTTCAGATTTTCTCTTGAGCCCATCTCGTACAGTTTTTCATTTCAGTTATTATGCTTTTCAGCTCTAGAATTTCCACTTGGTTTAATAGTTTTTATTATTTCATTTAGATTCTTTATTTACTCAATAATATAATTTTTTAGGACATATTTGTAATAGTTGTTTTGAAGTCATTGTCTGCCAAATCCAACGTGCAGGCCCTCACTGAGTCAGTTTCCATGGACTGTTTCTTTTCTGAGCTGAACTTTTCATTTTCTTTACCTGTAACTTTTGGGTGAAAAATGGACATTGCAGATTGTCTCTGTGCAATTTTGAGATATTTCGTTCTTCTGAGTATTATTGGGATTTTTGTTTTAGTAGGCAGTTAACTTGCCTGATCCAAAAAGCAAAGTCTCCCCCATAGTATGCAGTGGATGGTGTTTCTGCACAGGTGATTTTCACTACTCACTGCTGCTGCTTTAGCCTCTCCCATCCCTTACCCCCAGGGGTCACACCAGCCTTGGCAGTTTAGTGTCAGCCAAGGATTTGGACAGAATACATATTCAGATTTGGAGCCTTCCCTTGCTGTACGGGTTCTCTCTAGATTTCTACTTGTCTTTCCAGTCCCAAGTTTGACCTCTGCTATCAAAAGCTCAAACCACGTGCAGTTTGGGGAAAGCATTCAGTCAAAGGCACAAGAAACTCACACCTCACAAAACCAGAAAAGTTACGGCTCACAAAAGTTGACACCCCACCCTAATTTCTGCTTGCCTTTTTAGCTGGGTTTTCTAGGGCCTCTTATGTTCTTACATAGTTTAATACTTAGCTAGGAATTTGGGCAGACTTTCAACTCACATTTTATTTATTTACTTATTCAGAGCTTAAAATGAGTTTATTAGTGAAACAGTGAGACAGAACCTATTGTCACATTTTAGATCCTAGGTCTTTTGTGACTTTCTTGCTTCCAAAATTTCCCCTTTATATTTTCAACTTCTCTTTTGCTTCCAGCTCTTATCTTGACCGTGGAGCTCATGAGGCTATAATTTTTCTCCCTGAGCTGGGGAGGTTGGGAAGTGCCCTCAGGCAAGAAGGCCACAAACTCACAGTTCTTACCTCTTATATCTTTCAGTTGAACAATAACCCACAATCTTCTGACCCACTACCTCTTGCATCTTTCAAATGTAAATATTCAAATTCTTCCTACTTTTGATTATTTGCCACTGCCTGCAGATGGTTATTTGAAATATATTTGTTCTCTTTTTATTATCATTTTTTTTGGAAGGAATTGCCATTGCAGATGTCCCACCCTATCATGTCTTTCAGCAATTTTTAAAAATTAATTTATTTTCTGATTACATTTGGTATGTAGTATTATATTAGTCTCTGGTATGCAACATGATTATATATATAATATAATATATATATATACACCTTATGAAATGATCACTCTAATAAGTTTAGTACTCATCTGACACTATGCATAGTTATTACAATATTATTGACTATATTCTCTATGCTATACTTTACATCCCCATGATTATTTTTTAAATAATTGTTGTAATTTTTCATTACAGTCTGCACGCAATATTATATTAGTTCCAGGTGTATAACCCAATGATTTGATATTATACAGAAATTTTATGTATAATACTTTGCAATCTCCCAATTAAACAGAGACACTCGTGAGGGGCTCAGGGTTTGCCAGCAAGCAGATCTACCTCGATTATTAATATTGTTTTTATTCTAGTATCTTCAAGGTTACCTTGTATGCAGCACATTTTATCGGTATATCATTTATGGTAGTGATATAAAGTTTCCCTTTTAAATGATATAGCAAAAATTGTGACGATTGTTCACAAATAATTGATATTTGTGAAATAGTGATCCAATGTACAGTATTATTGTTACCTTCAAACATTGTTTTTAGAGAAATGCTTCTTTCTGTTTCTTCTTTTCTGCCCCTCACCTTTCTTTACTAAACTGTCAGTGTTCAGAAAAAAATTCAGAATGCTGACTGCAGGACTGCCCTAGTCAAGACTACAGTTTGTTCCAAATCTGCTTCTTCTCAATATCGTTTTTGTCCTACCTCCATTGTTGCTCTTATAGCCCCACCTCCTGCCTGAGCAAAAGACATTTTAAAGATTTGTGTAATGGGCGTGTGTGTGAGTTCCAGGACTATAGGTATGTTTTTACATTAAAATTTTGGAATTAGGAGATGACTTCGTTGTCAAATTAGACTCAGAAATAAATATGTATAATTTTCCCCAACATTTTTCTATATTTAATTTCAATGGGACTTTGAATTCATTGCCTCATTTTTTTCCCCAAAGGTTTTCACCGAGTAGAAGAAGAAAAGTAATTGAAATGAGCCCATGTTAAGCACTTTTAGTGCTTAAGACTTTTCTGCATATTTACTTTTTATCCAGAAGTAATGTTAGTTTTTAAAAAACAATGGTTTTTCAGTGTTTTGTTATTTGGAAGAAACAAGTGCATTAGAGAAATATACAGGACTTATTCTCAAAACATTGATTTTTCTCTTATCAGGGAAAAAGGAGAAGCCAAAGAAGTTCACTAAGCAGCCAAAAAAGCAGATGTCTTCACCATGTGGTCAGAAGAAAGAAAAGGCATTGGAGAAGGTAACTCTAAATTATATATTGCTATTCTAAAGTTAATATTCAGAAATAAGAAAGCAAGTATAGTTAGGAGAAATCTGAAGGAGAAGAATAGTAAATTCCATAGTGGAATGCTAGCAGTGTAAAATGAAAAAGTTTTATTAAGACAGATTAAAGATCTCTAAGATATACTGACAGGTGAAAAAAGGAAGTGCAGAATAGTATGTAGAGTGGCATATGATGCCACCACTGGTGCAGTAGAGGTAAAGGAATATATATGAATTTATTATATCTACCTAAAATATCTCTGGAATACTGTGTAAGAAATCAATAAGGTTGCCCTGGCTGATATAGCTCAGTGGATTGAATGTGGGCCTGTGAATCAAAGTGTTGCTGGTTCAATTCCCAGTCAGGGCACATGCCTGGGGTGCAGGCCAGGTCCCCAGTGTGGGGTGTACAAGCAGCAACCACGCATTGATGTTTCTGTCCCTCTTTCTCCTTTTCTTCCCCTCCCTATAAAAATAAATAAATAAAATCTTAAAAAAAGAGAAACGGATAAGATTGACTGCCCCTAAGAAATCAAAGAATGTCTGGGGGCAGAGGCTTTTACTATGTGTTATTTGTAGCTTTTGAATTTTGAATCAATATTACTTATTTAAAAAATAAAACACATAAATAGACTCTAAAATAAGATAAATAGAATTAAAATTTTAATAAATTAGTCAGTGTGGGGCAAAAGTAGGTTTACAGTTGTTCATATGGAAAATAATACAATTAATAAATAGTAATACAGGAATAAACTCCGTTTTATATATGCATAATGCTAAACCTACTTTTGTCCCACCCTGTACTTTATGGTCTTTTAAAATAATTCTTATTTCCCTGTGACTTCAAAGGAAGAGATAAAAATCCAGGTAGGAATAAGAGAACAGTAGTAACCACAGTTGCCTAAAAGAGAAACAAACCATGGATTCAAAAAATGTGTGAAAGCTGGAGTTGAGACAAGTCCCACACAATTACATTGGATGTGTTGTAGGTTCATCTTTGTGTTAGGTACTACAGACACAGAATGGGTGAATAATAAAAGATTGCATAAGCTGGGGCTTCCATTTCAGACCATAAAGCTGGATTCAAATTCTAGGTTTGTTTTTCTTTGGACAAGTTTCTTAATTTCTATGAACCTACTTTTCTTATAGAGATAATAACACCTGTTGCATGTGGTTGTTGTAATGCTTAAATGAAATAATACTTGTAATGCTCTTCATACAGTATCTTGCACTCAATAAATGTAAACTCCTTTTATTATTAACTATAGCACTATCAGTAAATATGTTCTAATTAGGCCTTAATGTTGTCTACTTTTTTTTAGTCAACTTCTAGAGATGTGTCTCCTTTCATGTGAGTATCACTCCTGAATCCAATGAAATATTCATTCTTAAAGCATCAATGCTGATTTTTGCTTAATTTTTCACTAGTGTGAGTATGCAGAAGAATAAGTGGGATGCTTCAAGATCATTGAGATTCAACCAGGATGCACAAAGAGAAGATGGTAAGTTTTACTTTTTGGGTGGTGTGCAAATTAGGTATAAATAACAATAATAGGAATCTTTTATATTATGAAGTATGCTGAATAGTTTTTTTAAGATTTCTATTTCTTTATTTTTAGAGATAGGGGATAAGAGGGAGAAAGAGAGGAAGAGAAACATCGATAGGTTGCTTCTCACACGCACCCCTAACCAGGGACCTGGCCTGTAACCTGGTATGCTGAACAGTTTTAAAGGTTTCAATTGGAATAAGGCTCAGAATTAACACATTCCTTAGACCTCAACCAGAGTTTCACTATTAGACAATCACAGTAGGTAATGTATTATTTTATGCACGTATGATTTTGAAGTCTCTTAGACTGACTTTTGTCCACTAATTTTACTCTAAAGGTGGCAGAATATGTTTTAGGCTAATTTACAATAATCTCAAAAGTATCACAGTTATCCATGTATGAGCCCTTTTGTCACTCACAGCCTAAAATTCTTCAAAGATAGGCATAGGTAATCTGTAAAATGAGATTCTCATAAAACCTTGATGATTGTAATCTTTTTTTAAGAAATAAAAGTTATAAATCATTCTCATGATAAGCAAGGTTTATTATTTTTTACCTTCAGATCAGAGGCGGATGTCTGAAATTACAGGGCACCTAATAAAGATGAGACTGGGTGATCTGGATCGAGTCAAGTCAAAGGAATCGAAAGAAGTGAGAATTATGTACTAGTGTACTGTGCTTGCTTATATGTGCCTCCCTACTTTATTTTCATTCATTTTGAGAAATATAAAGTTGTTTTAGGCAGAATTTAAAAAAAAATTTAATATTTTATATCCTGCCCCAGTTAGCCAATTCATTCACATTAAAGTTTTCTACCATCTCTTATGATCCATGGTTCGTGGGTCCTCTGCAACACACATAATAAAGTACATTGTCACTGGAAGTGTAATGTCACACCGAGAGTAGGGTTAAGTGTGCACTGCTGACCAGATGCTAACCATCCAGAGGGTAACTTTCTGGAAACTGCTGATTTTGATCAACCCTGCATGAAGTACTTAGATGTTATCTCTAAAATAAGACAGGATCTTGTTGAGAACGATGACTAGAAATATCTATGTTCTTACTAGAATTACATGTTAGCTGTAACATTATCATAGTATTGGTGTTATTTAATTAAAATAACTCTTGCCCCTATTTTTTATTTAAAAGTGCATTTCCCTGTAAAACTTCTCAAAGAAAACATAGGAAAAAATCTTTGTGACCTGGGTTAGACAAATATATCTTAGCTACAACAACAAAAATGTAATCCATAAAAGAAAAAAATTGACAAATTGGACTTCATCAACATTTAAAAGTTCCTGTTTTTGAAAGACACTCTTAAAAAATGAAAAGGCAAGTCATAAGCTATGAGAAAATATATATAAAACACCTGGTAAGGGATTTGTATCCAAAATATATAAAGAACTCTCAAAAATTAATAAAATAATCCAATTAAAAGAAATGGGCAAAGGATTAACCATACTCTTATTAAAAGAAGGATACAGGGAGCAAATAAGCACATGAAAAGATGCAACATCATTTGTCATTAAGGAAATGCAAACTAAAACCTCAATAATATATATCACTATAAACCAAATAGAATGTCTAAAATAATTTTTAAAACATGCTGGCAATGTTTTCAAGAATCAGTAGTGTCAAATTGGTTGACTTATAAGGGACACAAGGGGATTTTCTTGGATGAAGGAACTATTTATTCTGTGTCTTTTGTAACAATGGTAACACAATTGTATGCATTTGTCAAAAGTCCGGAATATTTACTGAACAGGGTGAATTTTAATATATGTATGTTATGTCAAAGAGCCGGAATGTTCAAAAATCAAACTAAAGGTACTTTTAAGTTAAGAGTAATACCATTTTAATAAAGCATAGTTTCTCTTGATTTTGTAAAGATAATGACAGCTCCTTTACTCTGCAGTTTGCTGGAGGTATTTATTCCAGGCTCGAAGCGCAAATCAAGGCCTCGGTGCCGGTCAGTGCCCGGCAGGGAAGCTCAGAGAAAAACTCGAGGTATGTCAGCTTAGGAGAATTCAGAGTGCCGTTGGCTTTGAAGGGATTTTTTTCTGGGCAAATCACATTGAGTTTTGTTTTATTCTGTTTCAAGAATCAGATCAAGACACTAATAATAACCAGATTTTAACTAAAACATTAAGACTTTAAAAGGTCATAAGCACAAAATTTAATGAAAGTATAGGTTTATTTTAAGACTTCAGTTTATTGATTCAGCTGTGTTCTGATCCAACTGCTGATAAAAATGTGAGCTATACTGCTACTGTTAATTAGCAAACTTGTAATACTATTTATAGGTTATATGCTATTACTTTACATAAATCATTGAAGTCTTTCTCATTTCTTGTTTTATTTCTCTTTTAAAAATCTAACTTATGGATCCTGTGTTATTTTATTTCACCAGTTTTTAAAAATATAATTTATTGATTATGACATTACAGTTTTCCCATTTCCCCCCTTCATTCCCCTCCACCCTGCACACCCCCTCCCACCTACATTCCCCCCACTTTAGTTCATGTCCGTGAGTCACAAGTTCTTTAGCTTCTACATTTCCCACACTACTCTTACCCTCCCCCTGTCTATTTTCTCCCCACCATCTATGCTACTTATTCTCTGTACCTTCTCCCCCCTTCTCCTCCTCCCACTCCCCTGTTGCTAACCCTCCATGTGATCTCCATTTCTGTGGCTCCACTCCTGATCTAGCTGTCCTCTTAGTTTGCTTTTGTTTTAGGTGTGATTGTTAATAACTGTGAGTTTGCTGTCCTTTCCCTGTTTATATTTTGTAACTCCTTTTTCTTAGATAAGTCCCTTTAACATTTCATATAATAAGGGCTTGATGATAATAAACTCCTTTAACTTGACCTTATTTGAGAAGCACTTTATCTGCCCTTCCATTCTAAATGAAAGCTTTGCTGGATAGAGCAATCTTGGATGGAGGTCCTTGCATTTCATGACTTGGAATACTTCTTTCCAGCCCCCTTTTGCCTGTAAGGTCTCTTGAGAAATCAGCTGACAGTCTGATGGGGACTCCTTTGTAGGTGACTGTCCCCTTATCTCCTGCTGCTTCCAGAATTCTCTTCTTCATTTTAATCTTGGGTAATGTAATTATGGTGTGCTTTGGTGTGCTCCTCCTTGGGTCCACCTTCTTTGGGACTCTCTGAGCTTCCTAGACTTCCTGGAAGTCTATATTTTTTTGCGAGATTGGAGACGTTCTCCTTTATTATTTGTTCAAATAAGTTTTCCACTCATGGTGTTTCCTCTTCTCCTTCTGGTACCCCTATAATTCAGATGTTGGGATGTTTAAAGGTGTCTTGGAGGTTCCTAAGCTCTCCTCATTTTTTTGAATTCTTGTTTCTTTATTCTTTTCTGGTTGGATGTTTCTTTCTTCCTTCTGGTCCACTCCATTGATTTGAGTCCTAGTTTTCTTTCTATCACTATTGGTTCCCTGTGTATTTTGCTTCATTTCACTTAGTGTAGCCTTCATTTTTTCATCTAATTTGCACCAAAATCAACCAGTTCTGTGAGCATCCGATCACCAGTGCTCAGAACTGTGCATCTGATAGGTTGGCTATCTCTTGGTCGCTTAGAAGTATTGGCTCTTGGGCTTTGATCTGTTCTGTTTGAGTCATAATGTTTTGGTCAGGTCACACCTGTTGTGTATGAGGGGTGGAGTCTTAGGTGTTCACCAGGGCGGATCAATCAAATTGCTGGGTTGTGATGCTGTATGGGGGGGCGGGGTCAGAGAAGGAGCAATGGTGCTTGTTCCTTTCTCTCTCAGATTTCAGTCCCTTCTGCCCTTTCCCACAAGCAAATTAAGCCCTTCTGGTGTGGATTCCCAGGTGGGTGTGCTTGTGTACATTCAATGACCCTGTGGGTCTCTCCAACTAACTCTCCTGTGAGGCTGGGAGCCTCCCCCAGCACCTCAACCCCCGAAAGTTTTTCCAATCAGTACTTTTAGGCTTTATTTCCCAGTGCTGGGGCCCTGGGTTGCAGGGTTTGTCTCACTGCCCGTTTTTTTGCCTGGTTTATCTATGTGCGAATATGTGTCCACAGTCAGCCAAGCATCTTGCACACCTGGTTTGCTCCCTGCACCTGGTTCTGCTAACCACCACCTCTTTCTACCAGGACGCCTCTCCATGGACTGACTCTGCCCCTCTTACCGGTCTGGATGAGTGGTTCGTTGCAGTCAGACTTCAGTATAGTTCAGTTTTCTGTCTGTTCTGGTTGTGATTTTGTTTCTAAATCTTTGTTGTCCTTAAGTTTGGTTGTGTGAGGAAGCACAATATTTCTACCTATGCCTCCATCTTGGTCGGAAGTAAGTCCTATTTCACCATTTTTTTTAAAGATTTATAGTTACTGAAATTTGATAATTAATACTACAGATCCAAAAGCCTTATCTGCAATGCAGAAATCCAGAAAGCTCAAAAAACCACAAGATTTTTTTCACATATCTGTGTCAGCTCAAACGTAAACTGAGCTACTATGATGCCATTCACAGTTTTTTATTTATCCCACTTAATGTAAATGTTCATTTGTTTCACTGTCAAGTAACAATGTGTTTGATTATGAGACATTACTTCAGATTCATAATATACAATATATATACCATATTATCTCCCCCTAATTAAAAAATATGTGAATTCCAAAATACATCTCACTCCAAGAGTTTTTAAAAATGGCTTATGGAGCTACATAAAATTTCATTAAACTTTGATACTGTCAACCAAGCATAACCTAAAGTAACAGTAACTTCCTTTAAGCACCTCTGACCTTCTTTTCTGTTTAAAATATCTAGATCTAAAAGTCGTTTTGGTCCAGGGCGTCCTGCCTAAAGCACCTTAACATGTTACCAAAAAGGCCGAAGACACACTTCCGGACATCTGAAACTGCTCACCTCTTGAAGACTTCAGAACTATGACTTCTAAATATTTTAAGTTATTTATTAATTATTCTTGTAAACCACATAAATCACAATGTTAAGGAAAGTGTATAATTAGGTCTTAGGAAATCTAATTATAAATATGAAACTTCTTAAATCTAATTTTCTTTTAGTGTAATGCTAAGCTGTATAGAAAATTAGTATTTACAAATTAGTTAAGACCCTAATATTAATTTATTTATTTGAAAAAGAAGAGGACTAAACTGTTGAGTAGCCTAGATTTTTATTTTGAGACCTTAAAAAACTTAGAGAACTCACCAGGTAGTGGTACCGTGCATGTGCACTGACTGTGGTATGTCTTCTGTGAATTGTGGGGTGGCATTGAGAACTGCATTTTGTGTGATGAAATTTCCAGTGATGCTAATTTGAAGTTTGCATGGATATTAAGGAGTGACAGATCTCAAGACTGCATTAAATAAAGTGTCATGGTGAGGTATTTCCCATGTTGGGCAGAAGGGTTACATTTTTTCAAGTTTATTCCATGGAAAGCATAATGTCATTCAACCTTTTCTTCTTTTGGTTTTTAATGCTTATATATTGGTCTTCTGAGCTGGAATTGCTGATTATTAACTCTTTCCTCTGTGAAGCTAGTGCCATCTGTCAGTTTTAGAGTAGTAAATCATTTCAGTTGTATGAGATACCCACTATACGGCTGTCAGGGTTCTAAAACCCAACCATATTTCTATAGCCCTTTAAAACAGTTATAATTACTTACTGCTTTAGAGCTGCTTACAAGGAAAGATTCCCAAATTCATTTGATGGATGAAAAATTTTATATATTCAAGAGAAATAAAAATAAATTTCTGTAGGTCATATTCTAATTTTTCTAACCAAGCAGAAAGAGTGCTCAGGGAACATTTTTTTTTCGAACCATAAGCATATAAAAAATATGTGTTTGAAAATTATTTATATATAGGTCTCTTAAAACTTTAAGATGCACTTTTTCTAATTTAAATGAAGATTTGCCTTGTAATTGAAATTTCTTCAAATTGTTTGGAGAACAAACTTTGATGATGTGTGACAGAACAGCAGTTTCTGTGAAATGCTGAAGTGTTACACTCAGTATTACACATACAGAAAACATTATTTTAGTGAATGTTTCAGTTGATAAATTAAGCTAGATTTTATTTATGTTCTATCTATGGCTTGGCCAAGGTTTTTGAACTTCTGTTTGGAAACCTTGTTGCAGTTTATATAATTTTTAATTAATATTTTTGAAATAGATTATAAAAATTTTATTTTTAAATGAAAATGTTTTATAGTACATGATCTGTGAGCCCTGCTAAATACCAATTCTTGCTTAGTTTCCTGCATTCCCTGAGTTAGAGGATTTGGGTATATACCTGGTATTTAGTGCTGTGATAGTCATAGCCAGGAGAGGAAAGTAGACCCCTTTGATTTTTAACTGAGGGTAACAAGGCAAATTGCTTCTCCCCTGGTGAGATTGCACCACTGAATTGATTCTTACAAACTACAATTTATCAGAATTTGATTCTCTTCAGAATGTGCTTTTTTGTTAATGTCTCTCATACATAACACAGGTACTACATCATTTTATTCAAGCTTTTACAGTATTTTTTTTGCCACATACTTTGAGGTTTTACCTTACATTAATTCTTAATATACATATTTTAAATGGAAATAAACGTTAATGACAAAAGTAGTTTGGAAAGTCCCTTGATCTGAATCATTCCATTTCCTCAAAAAGGCCTGGATGGGCTCTAGATCACAGGTCTTCGTGGAAAAGGTGAATTTTGTAAATTGTAAGATTTTTAAAAAATATTTTATTTATTTCATTGAGGAGCTATTGTAAATCTCACCGTCTCACACCTTTCAGTTAAAAGGCACTGTGACATCGAGTTAGTCCAGTTCTAATAGGCTAACTTTCCCATTCATTTAAAGCTGGTCGGCTGGGGAAGATGATATGGGGACGGCACTATTGCTGCCCTACAGGGTTGTTGGGGTACTAAATGGCTTACAATCTAAAACAATAGCACAGTACCTTCTGGCTCACAGTGAGCCCTCTATAAATGTTAGCTATTACTGTCGTTGCATTGTTATTGTAATATTTAGAAAATAGACTTAAATTCTATAAGATAAGGGCTTGATGTCCCTCTGATGTGACCTGAGTGGCTAAGACTTAGATATATTTGTGTGTGCTCAGGGCAAGAAAGAAGAGAGGCACCTAATACTTGGTGGTTGCTATGGCATCATTTGTTATTTTATTATTCTAAACATCTTGCCTAATTTAAGCAGAGTAAACAGCATTTGTAGGAAGAGCTAGATAGGAAAACCATTTCCTGATATGCAGTAGTGACTTATGCTATTTTCAATGAGGTTTACTGAAGGGGAGAGTGAAGGTTACAGCATAATCTTACAGCAGCTTTCCGTCTAAGATGTCTTTCCTTGATAAAATATAGCAAGTTTTGCTCTTACTACTTGTCAAGTCCAGCTGACTAGATTGGAGTTGGTGTGGAATAGTAGGTGCTAAATGTATATGCCTTATCACCTTTAGTTTCACAACAAATCCCCCACATCAGGTATTACCTCACTTTGTATTTGAGAAGTGAATTCAGTGAGGTAAAGTAACCCACACACTAGGACTGGAATCTGGCTGGGCATATCAGTACATTCCAACACCTTCTTGAAACAATTTTACCTTGAATTGCCAGAAACATTCTCTCCTGGCTCACTGGCAGCTCCTTTATGTTGAAAACAAGTGACCCGAGCTCACTTCCTGTAGTTTCAGTCCTGTGTATCCAACAGCCTACTTGGCATTTGTACTTGAAATACCAGTACGTGTCTCTAACCTAACATAGTCAAAACAGAACTTGTGATATCTGGGATCTTCCCAGATACCCTCCACAACTCCCAGTTTGCTCAAGCCCAGTCCTCCCCAGTTTAATACTATTGCCCACCTAAGTGCCCAAGCCAACATCTGGAAAATTATTTCTTATCCCACTTTCCTTCACTCCCCACATCCAATTGATCAGCACATCCCATCCATCCATCCATTTACTTCTCTCCATCTTCATTATCACCATACCAAATGAGTATCTTACAGGAAGTGCTGCAAAAGTCTCCTAAGTGATTCCCCAGCTTCCACTCCAACCTCTGTTATCTACAAAGCAACCATAGTGATTTTGAAATGTGAGTCAGATCACATCACTTCCCTGCAAACACTCTAGTAGCACTCCATCAAACCCAGAATAAAGCCCTGGCTGGTGTAGCTCAATGGACTGAGCAAGGGCTGTGAACCAAAGGGTTGCTAGTTCAATTCCCAGTCAGGGCACATGCCTGGGTTGCAGGCCAGGTCCCCAGTGGGGGCCACAAGAGAGGCAACCACACATTGATCTTTCCTTCCCTGTTTCCCCCTCCTTTCTCCTCTCTCTAAATATAAATAAATAAAATCTTTAAAGAAAAAAAAAACAGAATAAAATCCAGCCTCCAGCCTCCATTGCTTAGGTTTACAAAGTCCTGCAAGACCTAGCCTCTGGCTGCCTCTCAGACCTCCTTGCCTACTACATTCCAGTCACAGTACCTACCTATTTGTCCAACATGAAAGCTCATTCCCAGCTTTCAGTCCCTTCACATTTAACTGTTCTCAATGGCTAGGTGTTTTTTTCTTACAATTCAGATTTTAGTGTAGATCTTATTTTCTCTCAGGAGGCATTTCCACATACTCAATCTAAAGTAACTACTCGAGACACAGCCAAGATGGAGGCGTAAGTGGAAACAGCTTGTGTCCACGCACAACCAAATCTAAAAACAACAAAGTTTTAACAATAATAAACGCAACCAAACCACACAGAAAATCGACAATACAGAGTCCGAAAAGAACGAAATGCTCAGCTAAACCGGTAAGAGGGGCGAAGCCAGCCGCAGAGCAGGTTGGCCAAAAACAGGGTGGTGCGCAGCAGCTGAAGGCACGGATCCCAGGTACAGGCTAGGTACGGGCGGGCACAGGGAAGAGGCGTGGCTGGCTGTCTGCGGTTGGTCGAGCATTTGCATGCAGATAAACCTGTGAAGAGGCGAGCATTGAGACCGCATGGTGCAGGGCGGTAGGCTTGCACATTTCCGCTCAGATAAACAGGCGGGGGCGAGTGGTGGGATGGACTGGGCAAGTGGAGAGGACCGCCATTGCTCCCTCTCTGACCCTGCCCCCACATACAGCAGCATCACAAACCAGCGACCTGGGTGGCCCCACCCTGGTAAACAACTAAGGCTGGGCTCCTCATACTTAACAGGCACGAACAGATCAAAAATGGCTCAAGAACAACTCAGAGCCCCAGAGCTGATAAATCTAAGTGATGAAGAAATAGCCAAATTTTCAGATGCACAGTTCAAAACACTGGTGATCAGGATCCTCACAGAACTGGTTGATTTTAGTCACAAATTAGAGAAACATATGAAAGCTAAACTAATTGAAATGAATGGTAATGCACAGGAAACCAATAGTAATGGAAAGGAGACTGGGACTCAAATCAAGGGAGTAGAACAGAAAGAAGGAAAAAATGACCAAACAGAAAAGAATGAAGAAAAAAGAATTCAAAAAAATGAGGAGAGTCTTAGGAACCTCCAGGACATCTTTAAACATTCCAACATTTGAATTATAGGGGTACCAGAGGGGAAGAGGAACAGTCACGAGTGAAAACCTTATTTGAACAAATAATAAAAGAGAAATTCCCCGTTCTGGCAAAGGCAATAGACTTCCAGGAAACCCAGGAAGCTCAGAGACTCCCAAAGAAGTTGGACCCAAGAAGGAACACACCAAGGCACATCATCATTACATTAGCCAAGATTAAAATGAAGAGAATTCTAGAAGCAGCAAGAGATAAGGGGACAGTCACCTACAAAGGAGTTCCCATCAGACTGTCAGCTGATTTCTCAAAAAAGACCTTACAGGCAAGAAGGGGCTGGAAAGAAGTATCCCAAGTCATGAAATCCAAAGACCTACAACCAAGATTGTTGTACCCAGCAAAGTTTTCATTTAGAATGGAAGGACAGATAAAGTGCTTCTCAGATAAGACCAAATTCAAGGAGTTCGTTATCACCAAGCCCTTATTATATGAAATGTTAAAGGGACTTATCTAAGAAAAAGAAGTTAAAAAAACATGAACAGTGAAAGGACAGCAAACTCACAGTTATTAAGAACCACACCTAAAACAAAAGCAAATTAAGAGAACAGCTAGATCAGGAGTGGAAACATAGAAATGAAGATCACATGGAGGGTTAGCAACAGGGGAGTGGGAGAAGGAGAAGGGGGGAGAAGGTACAGAAAATAAGTAGCATAGACAGTAGATAGAAAATAGATAGGGGGGAGGGTAAGAATAGTAGGGGAAATACAGAATCTAAAGAACTTGAGACACGTGTTCACGAACTAAAGTGGGGGAGGGGTGTGCAGGGTGGAGGGGAACGGAGGGGGGAACAGAACAAATGTAATGGCATAATCAATAAAAAAGTGTTAAAAATAAAAATATATATACAGTTTTATGTAATTAAAAAATAAATAAAGTAACTACCCAAGTCACTCTCATCCCATCATTATAGTTTGTTTCTGTATGAATGTGACATTATTACTCTGATTTTTAAATTTGTTGGTTTGCTATTCATCTCTCATACCAGAAAATGAAATTAAATGCATCCATATTGGAAAAGAAGTAAGACTATATTCACAGATGACATGATCTTATAGACAGAAAATTCTGAGAAATCCATTAAAAAAAACTATTAGACCATATCAAGTTCAGCAAGATTTCAAGATTCAAGATCAATATATGAAAATCAACTTATTATATACACTAGCAATGAAAAATATGAACATGAAATAAGGAAAACAATTCTCTTTATAACAATATCAAAAAGAATTAAAAATTTATAAATTTAACAAAAGATATGCAGGACATATTCTGAAAATACAGAACATCACTGAAAGTTTAAAGAAGAGCTAAATCAACGGAACAACTATTCCATGTTCATGGATCACAAAACTGAAATGTTCAGATGGTGTAACTCCTCATGGTTCCACCACAGTCCCTAACAGAAACCCCAGCCGGCTTCTTTGTAGACATTGACAAGGTAATCCTAAAATTCATATGGAACTCAAGGGACCCAGGACAATTTTTTTTAAAGACCAGAGAGAATTTACACTTTCTGTTTTTAAAATCTTAACTGTAGAGCTACAAGAATCAAGACATATCCTTATGCTGTAGTACTAGCATAAGGATATGGAGAGAGACTATATCAATGGAACAGAATTGAGAGTCCAGAAATACACCCATATATTTATGCCCAACTGATTTTCAATGACAGGGTCCAAGACCATTCAATGGGGATAGTCTTTTCTAGAAATGAGGCTGGGACAACTGGATAGCCTCGTGCAAAAGAATGAAGTTGGACCCCTACGTAACACCATATACAAAAAAAAGATGCAAAATAGATTAATGACCTAAATGTAAGAACAAACAAAATTTAAAAAGTGAAAAGATAGCCTATAGAATGGGAGAAATTTTTACAAGCCATGTGTCTAATAAGGGACTTCTTTTCAGAATATATAAAGAACTTTTAAAATTCAACATTAAAAATTAGACA